GCTCCTGGATGCACGATCTCGGGCACAGGTGTGCCCATTCAGCATGAATGATCAACGTTATATGCCATCCTGCTGTATACAGAGATGGAGTGTGTTTCCCAGTTGCTAAAATGGGTCTGTGTTTTAATATGACCATGGATAGAAAGCGAGGGAACCTCAGTCACGCTTGAGCAAAATTACATCTCCGTTTCCCCAATGAGTAGCTTTTTCCGGATCATTTTTTTTTAATGGATATAAATAGGTAGGTCAGTCTGATCACAGCTGTAAAGAATAGTGCACCTCCAAAGGTCACATAACTCTCCTCACATTATTTACCAGTTCATTTATCAGCTGTAAATGCCTTGCAGAAGATGTTTTATTGTGCATTTCTATTGCTGCTGAACCACATGTATAGAGATGATTACCAGCAAGCTGTTTCATCAAGAGAGAGATAATAAGAGTATGCTACATTGAACTTATGAGTTTGTGCAGTGCAGCCTTTGTGTTTCCTACTGAAAAAAGCTCCTCGTTTATGATGAAGCATTCAACATATTTTCAATTCGTGGCCTTTCCAGGGGAAACACATCCTTGATTACACTATGAATATCATCCTTGTCTGCTTCATAAAACCAAATTGGGCCGTGTAGGCTATGGACCATCATAAGTAATTTTGATTAAGTTAGTGATACGCCTGCTATAAAAGCCCACTTTTCATTTAGGTAGAGGGGTGGACTAAGAGCTTGTGGAAATGCCTGAACAATAATCACAACACCGCATCCTAACTAGTTCAACAATAGTGGAGTTTAGGTTTAACCCTTTAAAAATATAAAGACTTCATAATAATTTACTGCAGCTAAATACCAGTTTGTTGCCAGAAACTTTTCCTTTGCCAGCAAAAGCCTAAAATTCACAGAAACAAATCAGAAGCGAATCAACACAAATCAAATAATATGATTTCAAGATGAATTACAGCTGTTTGAAGACATTTTTTACTAAACAAGATGTTTAGCGCAAGTTTAATGCCTACTAAAACTGTGCATTTTATGACAATGAATAATTGAGATTTGACTAATATCAGTTTAATGTTTACTGACTTGTATGTTTACTGACAGTTTAATGTTCACTTAGTGACTTAACAGTAGGCCTACACTTTTTATGGTTATTATATATGTATATATATATATATATATATATATATATGAAGAGTTCAGATGCAAAAGCCTCTAAATGCCATTTGAAATTTTCTTCTAAAATGACAATTTTTATCAAGCTTGTATATTTAAGTTCAGTAATTTCACTTAAATGACAATTAATAGGTAATCTTCATTGCCATTTAAGTGAAATTACTGAACTTAAATATGCAACCTTGATAAAAATGATCATTTTAGAAGAAAATTTGAAATGGCACTTAGAGGCTTTTGCATCTGAACTCTTCATATATATATATATATATATATATATATATATATATATATATATATATATATATATTGCATTCATTTTGAGCGTAGTGAGGTGTAGTTATTGTATGAATCCCTTCTATTTGTCCTCTCTTTGTTGTTATCCAATAAATAATTTTGTGTCATTATGGTTATACTGTGTGAAGTATTTTTTAACAATTTTTTTACTATTACTATTTTTACTATTTTTTAACTACATTTTGGTGCCTTTTACCTTAGAAAGTGGAGAGTGACTGTGGAGAGCATTTGAAACTGAATACGGATACGGACGTGGCAGTAGTGATTTTGAAACTGTTTATTAAACTGACTAAACGACTTTATTGCAAACCTTACAGCCAATCAGAATCGAGTGTTCAGACAGACCATGGTGTACTTTTAAAAAGTTTAAAAGGGTATTTATTTTTCTAACAATAAAACCATTATATGCGGTAACTTTCAAAGATAGAGGTTAAAGATCAGAAGGTACAGTACAGAAATTTAATTTCAAGTACATGAAATAATTTCATACTGCATGCCTGCCCAGTTACATTACATAAGAGAGACATTAAAAGCAAATGTGCGGTGTTGGGGTACTCCATGGCCCGTGGATCGGGAAATACTGAGATGATTCAGTCAGCTCATTCCCCTCCCGCTGATGGAGATGTGAGATGTGTCTGTGCCTGAACAATAAATGGCGGTGCTTTGTTGCATAGCACCATTGAAAATCGACATCCGTCACACTGAAACCAACTTGATCAAATTAGGAGCATTTTCTTATTAGAGAATAATTAGATATGTTAATTTAATTCCTTAGATTTTAGACAATACATTTGCATTTCTTCTTCACTGATATCCGACTATTGTGTTATATAATTTGTCAAGAAAAAAAAGTGCAAGAATCTGTTATTTTATCATATATATAGTGATCTGGCTCTCCAGTATCTACAACACAGACATGCGAATATAAATACATGTTTTATAGCTGTGTTTGCTTCGATTAGTCCTGTCATTCCATCGGCTTGTTCAGCGTAATGCTTGTGTTTGCAGTTTTTTTTTGAATGGTAAATAACTTTTTAATCTTAAACTTCAAAGATTTGAATAAACTATATTCAAAGCAGTCAGAAGAGCCGTTATTCAATTCTGTGTTCTGGCCCACTTACAACAACGGCAGTGCAGGGGAACAATGCAGAACGGGCGAATCTACCCCACAGTCTCAGCTGCTGAGTTGTAATCACTTCTTTCTGTTCTGTTTGTGTTGTCACGGATAACAAAATTGAACTGAATTTCTTGGCTCTTTATTCATCATGAAATATTAGAGCTGTCAAGGTGTAATAGAGTTTGACAGAGATGTACAGAGCATCAGAGTCACTGTTCTGTAAAAAACAAATACAGGTGGTACAACTGTAATTGATCACAGATTCAAACTGATTTAGTGGACACTTAAACAGGTAAATGCAATAATAGGCCTATATCAGGTTTGAGATATAACAATGGCTTATTTAATAAATATTCAATATTTAATCTTATTCCATTCTTATGTTTGTATCTCATCCAATGGTAGGAAGACTTGAACAATACATGGATGCTGACTGTATTGCACTGTTTATTCGAAACATATGTTTGTTATGATTACGTCATGTTTTTTTTTGTGTTTTTTTTACACTTGCGGCTTTGCACTGGCAAACATTTTGCTTGTTATTATGCCTGTAGTGAAGTGACATTGAGCGGGAAAGACCTATGAAACCCAACTGCAGTAAACTTCACTCCTGATGTGTGTTTCAAGAATGATAAAGGGGCGGCCGGGGTTAGTTGTCACATGGGATATTTCTCAGTTTGTATACGGTTTTGACTCACAAGTCAAATTACACCAATGTGTGTTTTCTCTAGCAACGGGTTTGTGATTTATTTACAATTGCCAAGTTCGAAACAATTTCAAATTAGAACATTTTTTTTTAATCTGTGCCTAAATTTAGCCTAAATCATACTGATTTTTAGCTTTAGCTGTTAAGTTAACAAATGAACAATAACACAATTAGCTTACATTCAGAAAATACACTCCCCTAAAGGATTATTAGGAACAGTAGTAATAATGTGTTTGATGCACTTTCGCCTTCAGAACTGTCTTAATTCTACGTGGCATTGGTTCAACAAGGTGCTGAAAGCATTCTTTAGGAATGTTGATAGGATAGTATCTTGCAGTTGATGGAGATTTGCGGGATGCACATCCAGGACACGAGGCTCCCGTTCCACCACATCCCAAAGATGCTCTATTGGGTTGAGAACTGGTGACTGTGGGGGCCATTTTAGTGCAGTGAACTCATTGTCATGTTCAAGAAACCAATTTGAAATGATTTGAGCTTTGTGAAATGGTGCATTGTCCTGCTGGAATTATCCATCAGAGGATGGGTACATGGTGGCCATAAAGGGATGGACATGGTCAGAAACAATGCTCAGGTAGGCTGTGGCATTTAAACGATGCCCAATTGGCACTAAGAGGTCTAAAGTGTGCCAAGAAAACATCCCCCACACCATTACACCACCACCACCAGCCTGCACAGTGGTAACAAGGCATGATGGATCCATGTTCTCATTGTTTACGCCAAATTCTGACTCTACCATCTGAACGTCTCAACAGAAATCAAGACTCATCAGACCACGGAACATTTTTCCAGTCTTAAACTGTCCAAATAATAATCCTTCAGGTGAGTGTAGTACGGTGACACTTTATTTCGATAGTCCACTTTAGACATTCTATTAACTATAAGTAAGTTTGAAGCTGCATATCAACTGTCAATTGAGGATTAGTAGACTTTCTGCTTAATATTATTTGCTAACACTTTATTTTGTTGGTCCCCGAACAGATATTCTACTGACTATAAGTAACTTGGCAACTAAAAGTCAAATTATTCTTCTAACTCTAACCAGAACCTAACAGTGTACTGACAGTCTACTACAGTACTCTAATGAGAGTTATTAACTTATATTGTCTGACAATATGGCTTACACAATGTGAATTTACGATATTCTTTTTATAACAATGGTTATAAGCAATGAATGATGATGTTAATAATGATGTAAAAGTATTGCTTGTTCATTTTTAGATGGATATGCCTGGAAAACACTGTACAGGTTTGGAACAACTTGAGGGTGAGTAAATGATGACAGAATCACATATGGGTGAGCTTAGCTATCTCTTTAACTGAAGTCAATGTTAACAAATTAAAACCTATTGCAAAGTGTTGCCTTTTATGACAAAGTAGCAATTGTAAAAAAAATTATTTTCGGGTACAGTAGGCTATCTCCTTGAAAATCTAATAAACACAGTTATCAAAGCTGGCTAGTCAGAAATGCCCCAGTGGCTTAAACGGAGTTAGGCGCAGCTCTCTGCCATACAATGTCCTTTTGTAACATGTTTCTGAAAACTGTTCCATAAATAAAAAAAATAAATTGGCCCAAAACAGCGTATAGCCCTCGAAGTCCAACATATGGCAATAAATGCCCATCTCCAATCCGTGGAGGAGGCATTTGTCTAGAGTGCCATTCAGACCAATGACAGCAGCATGTGGGCGTGTGTTGAGAGAGTGTGAGGTGCTTTTTGAGTTTAGTAAATGACTGCAGCAAGAAATACTGTGGGGCTGGGGGGCTTGTGAGCGATGGAACAAACCCTGTGTGCTGAAATATCAGCGTTTGGGCTTTTCTGACGAGGATTCAAGAAAAACATTGCAAGAAAAAATTAACAGCGTCTCTTAACTAGACCAGACAATGGAAGTAGCTTCATGCAGCACTGACAATTCACCCCAGGGAAACAAGTACGTACTAAATCAGACTACCTCAGCCAGAGGTAGCAAAAACTAACGTGTGGCTCGAAAGCGACACATTTCTTCACTGGGATGCATGCGAAAAGAAGCGCGGAGGAAAAGAGCAGACGCGTATGTATATTTTCCCAATGACTTTGATGGCATTCCAGCACTGTGAGGTGATTTAGTGTGTAGTTTCGTTTGTTTAAAATGTTTGCGATGGAGCGCCTTTAGATATCCTCGGCGACTACGCATCTAATGCTGCCATGGATCGTCCGGAATGAACATCTGAATTTTTCTCATCGAGTTTTTTCCAAAGCGCTGCTTCCACCTGAAATTCCGCAACCCGTATGAAACAGGAGCTCCTCCGCTTCACCTAACGTTACACAGCCGCTGTCGGGAAAATGATCAGCTCGTCTGTATGCTCTTGAGATTTGTTTGGCCTTTCTGGGAATCTGAAACAAGCAAAGGACGAATTGTGCGCCTCAGAAGTGAGAGAAGAAAGGAATTGTATGGTGCTCTGAGCTGTGACTACATCTACTCATCTCCAACCTGACACAATGTTCGCACTCGGGATTTATTTGTGGGAAACTATTGTATTTTTCAGGTAGGCTACGTATCACGCTGTTTTGATGCGAGAGTGCTTTTTACTCAAACCGGCTATTTTGTTGTTTTTTCGAGGTTTACTTTTGCTGAGAATTTTGTATCCTATTTATATAAAAAAAAAAATAGAAAAAAAAAATCGTCGTAGCAATATTGAGTCGTTGGCTTGTTAGTTCATCTGTTGTAATCTCATGTCTGCTAATTAAAAAATAAATAAATAAAGTCATAATTCAGTGTCATTTAGTCATCCAAGTCAGAAATGGCAATGATTAATTTTCAACCAGGCTAAATAGCGAACACTAGTGGTCACTCGATGAACATAAAGTTATCAACAGGCACATGAAGGCAACAAACTGCATAAAATAATTCAGTGTGGGGTTTATTTAACACATTTCGAGAGAGTTATATATATATATATATATATATATATATATATATATAATTACACACACACATAGGCTATTAGCGGGGTCATAATCCCTAAAGCTAATAATTCTCAGACTAGGGACATATCATGGCAAATGTGTTGTGATTGACAATTTAATTGCATCCATCCATCCATCCATCCATCTCCAGTTGTTAGTGCAGTTCTATGACAAAATATAGGCCTATAAAAAAACTTACACCACCCTTATGCCGCAATGTTTATGAACATATGAACAACTGAACATATGTTCAGTTTACGGTTTAATTTTTTTAAAAAAATGAATTTTTATTTTTTACAGACGCAGTCTATTTCAAGTTCTATGTTAAATCTCCACGTTATCCTATCATAACACTGATTATCTCAAACGTATGAATCCTCTATTACAATATCATGAACGTATTCTGGTGGTTTGCAGTAAATTATTTTGCATTCTATGGGCAGTGTTTAGTTAATGAACTAGAATCAGGATATTGCAGTCTCAGCTCTTGCTGCTGAACTTTTGCAGAGGCTGTTAATTGATATCTTTCTTCTAGTTTCAGCCTACACTCCAACCTCGTTTCACATGCAGACTTATTACTAAACATTGATCCCTCTATCAGTGCTAATGCCACTGACGAATACAAATTGTACACAAATATAATTTGCTCTATGAATTGCATCTCTCTAATTGATTTCCATATTAGCTCGCACATTTTCCAAGCAAGGATTGTCACGTGAGAGACTGCTGTGTACATGTCACTGGAGAAGCAGAGGCATAGCTATTAAAATACATGTGTAAAACAGTTAAGATGTTATGTCATCAAACCATCACAATGAAATATGCAGTGAATGCTGTGTTAAGCCAATCCAATTATTGCAGCTGTGTGCATGTAGTGTGTCTACACTGTAAAGGTGATGGTAACATCTAAATCAACAGAAACATTGTTTATTACGACTGAATAAACAGTTAAGCCCAACGTAAAGCAACATAGAATCAAAAACTTAAAATTTGACAAGATATTGGACCGTGTGATAATACAAGAGTCTAAAATAACTTAAGAAACAATTGACAAAATAAACTTTTTGTTTTGGGTTAAATAACTTTATTTCCGCATTACGTTGTGTTGTTACTCATCAAAGATGTACTGCATGTCATCAAAACTCATTAACATAAACGTTTTGTAGGATTTGTTCAAGAAAGAATCAGAAAAAAAAAATCAACTGAAACAAAGCAAGGACTTATTTTTGTAGCGCTGTGTCAATGACAGTGTCCCTCTGTTCCATCAACCCAATTTCCCCCCCCTTTTTTTTTTTTTTTTTTTTTTTTTTTTTAACAATGCATGTCCCTATTTCTGTTAAAATGCTGTTTGGCTCAATGATTAAAACTATGAAACAAAATGCACTTGCCTCAAGGGTTAATATCTACTAATATAGATTAGAATCAGAGTTTAGTTTCGGTCTCTCTGGTAATTGTAAATGCACTGGTAGTGACTGCAGCGGATACATATAATTATGCTCTCAATTTTGTGCTCTACTGTAGAGCTTTTCAAATCTAATTTCTCCTCTCAAAGTGGAGGGAAATGAGGGGAAGGACAGCTTGTGCAATATCTAAAGAAAAAAGCTATCATTGTAACCAATAATTTTAGGAAGGATCATTCCTAACTCCTAATGCATCATTAATAGAGCCAGACCGATATATCGGCAGACCGATATTATCGGCCGATATTAGGCATTTTCCAAATTATCGTATCGGCAGTTATAATGGCCGATAAATGAATATTTCAAAAATAAAATAAAAACAGACGAAACACGCTAGAACCATGTCATGAGCGTTGGATTTGTATGGTTTGTCCACCAGAGGGCACTCTACACAGTCCCTGTTGGCAACACTCGTTGAGTTGGTCACGAGACATACATTGCTTGAATAACAATTAAAAGAACATCCCCATCAGTTCTCTCAACTCAAATAAGCATGGCAAAATTTGTGACTATCAGTTTGTGACTGTCCAGTTTAAAAAAATAAATAAATAAATAAAATATCGGCCGATATATCGGATTTTAAAACCCAAAAATATTTGTATCGGTATCGGCCTTCAAAATCATTTATCGGTCGGGCTCTAATCATTAATAATCCACCAGAGGTTATTATTTATTGAGGTCTGTGCTAAAATGAAGATTTGGGGTTAATTCGAACATGTTCTCCTCTATCCTTCAGTAACCGCATTGACAAATTGAGAGCAGCTTGAAGAAATGCCATCTTGGTGTGCCAGAGAGCCCTTTGATTTCTTGAGTGTTACAAGATCAATAAGGATTGTGTTCATCAGTGGTCCTAAGAACATAATGAGCTACACTTAGGGCTAATGATTGGATCCTCACATTAAAGTATGCAGGTCTCGGGGTTGTTTGCATATATTTTCTGGCAGGAGGCTCTGGTTTGGTTCCTGCTGCATCAGCAGAAGGATCAGGCCCTCTCCTCTGCCGTGACCAACATCGATCAAGGTTCATTTGTTCAGTGCTGCTGCCTTGATCAGTGAAACCATTAATTACTAAAGATGCAGTTTAAAGGTAGGGAAGGCAGTTTCGGAGAGGCTAGCAATCGCTAACTAGCTTTAAAATCACGAGATCCCAAAGCGTCTCCAAAGCCACGCCTCCTTCAAAACACAGGAATGAACACTGCAAAGTATGCAAAGCGTCACCTCATGTCTCAAAGCACATCAAATTTCAATAATAATCAATGTAAACAACTTAGAGCTCTAATTTGTACCAGGTGACTGCTGCAGATTTATTTCAGCGTTGATAGTGATGTCAGAGAAACGCATACATTTGAGCCTGACAAAACGCAGTTGTGTGGACGGGGCCTGAGGACGTCAACCGGTCTGAGTAGAACGTCACGACACGTGTTGCCATCGTGTTGCCACAGTTATGACATGAACGCAGCATGGAGGAACTGTAAATGGCGACTGCTGTTTGTTTTTGCCGCTCGGCGACTCTGCATAGCCTCACGAAACACTCGAATGACGTGTGATGTTTGAGGTTTGGAAATATACACACTGATAGGCAGGTAGGACAGGAGTGCATTGATTGGACGAATATTTTTCTGTCCTGAGACTTCCACAGAAGATATATGTATATGTTTTTAAATATTTAAGACCACTTGTATTATTGATTGCTTTCAGGATGTGAAGAGAATTTCAACCAGTATAACAAAAAGTGTTTATGATTTTGCATACCCTACTTTTAAAACCCACATTACGTTGGCAGCTTACTCCATCTTTTGTCAGCTACTGGTTACAATGAGGTGGATATGAACCAGGGAACCAAAACTAATAGAGACTGTATCCTCAGATTTCACACTGTCACCAAGATTTTGTCGATGGTGTGTTCATGTAAAGAGCCTCACAGAGAATAGCTCTGGAAGAGACTCAATAATCTGGCATGCCATGACTAATCCCATTATGCTTGCATTGCAAAATTTTACATTAAACACAAATGAATGTGTTTCTCACAATGGGATGATTCACACACACACACTCTCTCTCTCTCTCTCACACACACACACACACACACACACACACACTATAAACAGTATATAATTAATTCCTGGGATTCTGTAATATTTCAGATTTCAATCCCTTTGACTTTTTAATGTGGTGGTTCACCAAAATGAAAAACAAAAGCTTTTCACAATATGTTGGTATTTCCATTATAATGAATAAAAATAATTATTGCATTTAAATAATTTTTATTATAAGGCATTATATCTATCTTACACTAAGCATTTTGCCATGTCCCTAAGGCACTTCACTGAATTTGTACTTATTTAACATATATTTAACAATGTGCATAGTGTCTATAACTTTTGGCAATAGTGTAAGTATTTGTGTTATTTTCTTGTGAAAAAAAAAACCCTATTTAATAATAATAAATAAATAAATAAACGATTATAAAGTCATGTTCCTCAGTCTCAACCCCGTCATGCCAACCATTCTCTGCCCATAGTAATTTAGACTCAATGACATCATTCAGGTCTCTTTAACAGTGGCGCAGAAGATAGTAAGTAGTTTCTTCATATTTATTCATATTTGAGGCGTATTAGTCAGGGAGGGTACTGTCAAGCTTAACAACATAAAATTAAGATGGAAAATTATTATTTCTCAATTTTATTTAATGACATAAGTAAATACAATGTACTTATTTCATTGCTGCCAATTTATGATCTACTTAAATTTTTTGGATCAACTTTATTGTTAGGGGCAATTCGGTGTCACTGAATATGTCCCTAGTGTCCCTACTAAATTCTGTGCCCTTGACACACACACACACACACACTCACACGTTGTGTTTTCATGTTTTATGGGGACTTCCCTTGGAAATAAGTATTTCTATACTGTACAAATTGTATCTTCTCTCCCCTTACACTAACCCTACCCCTAAACCTACCCATCACAGAAAACTGTCTGCGTTTGTACATTTTCAAAAAAAGACATCAGTTAGAATGATTGATAAGCTGTTTTCTCAGTGGGACTAAAAAATGTTCCCTCAAGGACAAGGATTTTGGATATTGCCGTCTTTGTGGGGATATTTTGTCCTCATAATTTAGGGTTCACCAAGCCACACACACACACTCAACTAAGATGCATTTATTTCATCATAAATACAGTTATATTGTGAATTGTTACATCTTATATTTTGGTTTTCTAGTTTTATCAATCATTGATGGTGAAGCAGATTTTTCAGCATCATTACTCCAGTCTTCAATGTCACATGATCCTTCAGAAATCATTGTAATATGATTATTTGACGCTCAAGAAACATTTATTATTTTCATCAGTGTTGAAAACAGTTGTGCTAGCCATCCAATTATAATTTCCTGGAAACCATTAGGCTTTACCTTTTTTTGAAGAAAAGAAAGTTTAAAAGAATAGCACTTATTTAAAATAGAAATCTTTTGCAATGTAGAAGTCTTTTTCTACACCTGTATCTATACAGTTGAGCTTTTATATCTTTACTGACACTTTTTTCCCTCATGCTGTTCATTTTGAACCATTCAGCGTGTTAAAATGAAAGAGTTTAATTAAACGTAATAGTCTTTTGTTGAGGTGTTCTTAAGACCGATCACTGCCTTTCCCAGAATATTCTGTATGACGTATATTCTCATTTAAATGCCATACACTTCTCCAATTCAATAGTTGCCCAACACTAGTAAATGTTAATGAGCAGAAAGAATAATGATGTGCAGAATGGAAAAAGCCTGACTATTGCTTGTTTCGAAAATAAAAAGAATAAGTGATGACGCAGAAAGTCAATGGACATGAGAGAATAATGGATATGCTGCCGAAACAGTTAGACGGGATTCAGTGGCTGGTTAAGAAAATAGAGCAATTCCCTTCAAAGAAAGACCCATGAAATTGGCAAGAACAGGACCATGTCTCAAGGACGTAGGTGAAATCAATATACCACAGGCTCTTTAATGATTATTATCCTCCATTTTTTTCAGACACACTGATGCCCCTGTATGAAAAAAATGGTTCATTGTTCCTGCGAGTTTCAGTAATCATGTATGTGGGAGGACTTGAATAAGTCAATAGATATTAAAGTCCATCATGTATAGCACGGAGACTTGGCAATTAAATGCAGGGCAGATAAAGAGCCCTTTGGAAGCAGTTAAAATGTGACTAATCAGCACTAAAAGTGGTTTTAGGCTTAAAATCCCATGGGATAAGTTACCTTGTGACTCACAGGCCAGTTAGTGACCTGACTTTTATTGTAAATCAAGTTGGCGGGTTACACTGAGGTTTCAAAGGGATAGACATGCACCCTGTTATCCCTTTTTAAGCTCTAATGGCTTTCAGTGCTAATGAAGACGCAGATACTTGTGTATGACGAGGTCTCAATCCATTTCCATGTTCATTTATCTTTTTCATGGATTCTCTTTTGCTCTAAAGTGATTAAGCTTCCGCTCTGGAGATTTAAACCCGAAGCTTGTCAATTGTTTAATATCACTTTTTGAAAATGACAGCATAGGATGTCAGAGATATAGACCTCATTCACAGCAGCGCCATCTTTGTAACGAGAATGAAAGCGAGGCCGTGAGGGATAGACATGCATGTCCAAACACAAACGTGTTTTTGGATTGTTCTGCTGACGAAACACTGCAAACATATCTTTCCAGGAAATTTCGGTAGACAAAAAAAAAATAAAAAATACTCTTCCATACTTTGGAAAATTATGTGATCTATTAGTTTTATACAGTTTTATACATGTCATAGCGCTTATGACTCACAATTATTACAATCAGTAAGTGCTCTTATAACAATACTGTACACGAATTCTGTGTGGCTCTTATATGCAAACTGAATTATGGATGATAAGCCAGACATTTTCAATACATAGTTGAGCTAGAGGCTCCACATCACATCTGACCTGGGTCCTGCTGCATTTCAATCAAACAAAAATTTAAAGAAATATTAACATACAGTAATAATCATGACATATTTTGAATGGGACTCGAGTGGACTCGGGAATAAGTCTGAATTTTAATATGTTGGAGTACGAGTCAATTCCGAGTCAAAATGCACACGAGTCCATGACAAGACCGAGACCATTAAAATATGGTCTCGAGACCGGGTCTTGAGTATGCAACACTGATATATATATATATATATATATATATATATATATACACACACACATATATACATACACCGGTCAAAAGTTTTAGATCAGTAAGATTTTTTATGTTTTTAAATGAAGTCTCTTCTGGTCACCAAGGCTGCTTTATTTGATGAAAAAAAAAAATGACAAACAGTATTATTGTGAAATATTATGACAATTTATAATGACTGTTTTCTATTTTAATATATTTTAAAATGTAATTTGAAAGCTGAATTTTCAACATCATTGCTGTTCCTGATTACACATCAGTTTTCAGTGTCACATGATCCTTCAGAAATCATTCTAATATGCTGATTTTATGCTCAAAAAAACATGAATTACTATTTTTAATGTTGAAAACAGTCGTGTACCATTTCCCCCCCAAAATGAAGTTCAAAAGAACAGCATTTATTTAAAATATAATCTTCTTTAATCTCTTCTTTACTGTATATTTTGATCAATTTAACTCATCCTTGATGAATTAAAGTATTTTCTAATTTCTTTCCCCCAAAAATAAAAAATAAATTCTTACTGACCCCAAACTTTTGAATTGTAGTGATTAATGTTACAAAAGCTTTCCATTTCAGATCAATTCTGTTCTTTTAAACTTTCTATTCATCAAAGAATCCTGAAATAAAAATATAAAAAACTGTTTTCAACATGGATAATGATCATAAATGTTTCTTGAGCATCATATTATAATAATTTCTGTAGGATCATGTGACACTGAAGACTGGAGTAATGATGCTGTAAATTCAGCTTTGATCACAGGAATAAATTACACTTCACATAGAAAACGGCTGTTTTAAATTGTAATAATATTTCACAATATTACCGTTTTTTTTTTGTTTTTTTTTTGTATGTTTTATCAAATAATTGCAGCCTTGGTGAGCAGAACAGACTTCTTTTAAAAACATAACAAATCTTACCGATCTAAAACTTTTGACCGGTAGTGTATATACAGTATATAACATATAACATAATGCAGTGCCTGTCCTACTCTGTTTTTTAACGCACATGTCTTTCTCCCATTTTTTTTTTCTCACACAGCTTGGCAGCGTCCCAACAAGCAGCGGCTCGGAAAGCTGCCTCCCCCATGCCCCCGTCAGAATTCCTGGACAAGCTTATGGGAAAAGTGTCCGGTTATGATGCAAGAATCAGACCAAATTTCAAAGGTAGGTGTATCCACCAAGACACTGCTGGATATCACAGGAATGTAGCCAAGCGGTATTTTTAAAATGTTTATAGAGTTGGAAATTTGCAAGAATATATGCGATAAATGCATATGGACTATTTGTCAGTAAATGGAAACAAGGAATGAATGTTTCCGCAAACGCGCGTAGTTTTCCTGTACAAAAGATTCTGATTTCAAAGCATATTGCATCCCCTGATACCCAAAGATTTAATTAAGCTATATAGCTCATAGGATCACAGATACGGTTTAGGATAGATTATATAGGATGGATACTTTCTGAATGACCTGTATAGTAGTTATATTAAGAAAGCTTTTGGCTACATTCCTGTTCCTGTCCCATGATCTCAAATCATTAAGTGGATGTCTGTGGTGGGACTCGGTATTCTATATATTATATTGTCTGACGTGTGCTGGCAATGTTAGTAATAGCCACTGCAAGATACATGTCAGAGGTTTCCTTACTTCAACAATATATTAATGTCAATCCCTGCAAATTACAGTCTGCCTGTTTCTTAGCTATTCTTGGAAATATAAATCTTTTCCCAAAAGGTGTTTACCTGTGTCAAAAACAATACATTGTCTTTTAATACATATATTAATCACATAACATACAAACAAAATAATATATTTGAAATTGTTGTGTACACATAAACACTGATGCAAGATTCTATTTTTTTAGTGTAGTGTAGGCCTTGTGCAGCATCTGATTAAAGAAAGTGTATATATTCACTTCTTATGTATTGTTTTTGTGTGTTTAAATGTATATTTTGCATATATTCAATTCAATTCGAATATTGACCTGTTTGAATGCATATTGTTTATAGAGCCAAATCAAATGTATCAGTTGTTTGATATCTTGCATGTGTGTTGACCAGTAACACTTTATAATAAATTTAGCAAACTCTTAAAGGATATAATGCTTAACAAATCATTATTGTACATTGAAACATGTTCTGCTGATCTGTTAAGCTTTATGTAATGTTTGATCATGGATTAATGAAAGATATTATAAAGTGTTCTCTTCTGACCAGGATATGTTTCATGTACGATTCTATGCTAAATGATATTATATAAGAGTAAAAAATCATGCATTCCTGTATATGTACAATCTCACTCTTCCTTTGAAAATATAGGTAGGTAAAACCCTTACTGAATGATAGGAACATTACAGTAATGTATGCCGGGACTCTGTCCAGACTGTTAAACCTGCTTGAACGCTTAAATGGCAGAGGGTCACCGTCTGATTTTGAGTGGCCTTGCATCTTAACCTTGCTTGTGGCAACGAATTTCTCAATTTGATTTATTTATGTTTGTTGACAGTCAGTGCTGTGATATGGTGAATGAAGTCTGACGTCTTCAATTTTGCTGTTTGCTGAGTTTTGCTGCAACCTGAATGGCGTTGGTTGATTGTTTTCTCACTTAAATTTACCCAGAAGAAGCAAATATTCTCAACTTCATCAACTCTACATTGCCTGTATGGTTTCAATGTGTGATTTAAAGCCTAATTGTCAGAAATCCAATTACTTAATTCTTATATTAACATTCATATATATATGAAGAGTTCAGATGCAAAAGCCTCTAAGTGCCATTTGAAATTTTCTTCTAGAATGATCATTTTTATCAAGCTTGTATGTTTAAGTTCAGTAATTTCACTTAAATGGCAATGATAATTACCTATTAATTGTTATTTAAGTGAAATTACTGAACTTAAATATACAAGTTTGATAAAAATCATCATTAAAGAAGAAAATTTCAAATGGCATTTAGAGGCTTTTGCATCTGAACTCTTCATATATAAAACAAAAGTTACAATGGCCGTTGATATCCGCTGTCTGAATAAACACTGGCCCTCATTCGTGATTTCGTTATGTAATTCATTCACTTCATTTTATGAGGGCACATGGGTCCCATGGTCACATGACCAGACCAGACATTATGAAATACAAAGGTTCGTCACTGCTGTCAGGTCAAGTGTGTAACTGCACTCTGAGCCGGAAGCTCGCGCGTCCTCAGACAGTTTTCTTTGCTCCACTGTTGAACGCATTCTCTAAAACTCATATAGCAGGCAGCCTGACAGCGTGATACATTTCTGAAGGAAAAGGCGAGAGAGCACGTTTCTGGGGTCCTAGGCTCCTACGTAAAAAGCATCTGATGTGATAAGACATTTGGTGAGGAGGAGGAGGAGTTCACCTCCTCTGATTGCTGCCTCTCCTGTACATTTGGTCGTATTATAGAAATAGTGAAAGAGATAAGAATTGCCTGAAGCAACGAATGTGCTGGCATGAGAAGAAATTACACTGATCATGACTGGGACTCACAGTGGGAAATCCTTCCAACTGATTTAGCCGGGACCATTTGAAATGGAAAGATCATAGTCTGGCACATTTGGGGCACCCCATGCAGCTTGGACCAGGATAGATTATATTTTCAGATCATAATCTTTCACATGTACCTTTTCAGTCAATGAATAATGTAAGATTTACCTTCTTTTTTTTTCATTTTTGGTAACACTTTCCAACAAGGTTCAGTACATTGTCAATGCATTAAATGCCATGGACTATCAATGCATTTATTAATTCAGGTTCATGTTAATTTTTACATTTGCATTTTTAACATAAAACTAAATAACTTAAAATGAACATATTATGACTGAATACAAATCTATTTACACTACTGTTTTTGAAAGTCTCTTCTTGGTCTGCTCACCTAGGCTGCATTATCAATATTTAACAATATTACTGTTTTTATATATCAATGTATGTTATTACCCTAAAACCGTATTCTGGACAAATGTGGGCAAAATAGTTTTGATTTATTTAAAAAACAAATACTTCCCTTGATCTCATCGGTACAAGACTTGGCTACTTTTCCTAAGTTTGCCTCCTGAACACAGACATTTTTTTTGACTCAATTCTACAATGTTAAGTGGGTAAAAAAAAACAAAAAAAAACTCCTTAATCTTGTGTTTGGGTCAAAAATGGGCACCCATAGAAATGAATGTGAAAAAAAATAAAATAAGCCAAAATAAGACACCAGGTGACAGAAAAGTCACTTCCTCTTTAGGTTTTAGCTCTAAGAACTTATTGGAATGATATTTTAATGGGGTTGAAAAAAATAAATAAAAAAATGAAACACAAAAATAAGCACAATTTACATAGAAAATATGGTACTTTTTGAAGTAAAAAAAAAAAAAAAACAGAATTAAAAAAAAGAAACACCATAAATGGATAGACAAAACTTTATCAAAGACAGTGATATAACATTTATAATAAATAACAATTAGGATCACACCTGAGTCCTCTGTGCCCACATTTGTCCACAATTACAGGATTAAGGGCTATACAGTGAATATGGTTTGAGGGCTATAGTTACTGTCTACTATGTTAATGCATTTTAAAATGTAATTTTTTCCTATTATGGCAAAAGCTGAGTTTACAGCATCATTATTCCAGTCTTCAGTGTCACATGATCCTTCAGAAATGGTTTCTTATTATCTTGAAAACAGCCGTGCTGCTTATTATTATTATTTATTTATTATTATTATTATTTTTTGGTTTAAACCATTCTTTGTAAATAGCATTTATTTGAAATAGAAAGCTTTTTTAACATTATAAATTTTTTTACTGTCACACAATTTAATGCATTACTTACTTGAACCCAAACTTTTGAATGGTTGGATATTGTAAAATAATTATTAGTTTAATATATATATATATTAGTTCATGATACCTACACTGTACACTTTATCTAATCAATAAAATTGTGGCAACAGATTACAAGCAATATTATTAATAAATGTAACAAATTAGAATTGAGTAATAATTAATCAAATTAATTCCTTAAAAGTTAACCATTTAAAATGAGTAGTTTACACCCAAAAATGTAACAAAAATATCTCACTAACAGACGGACGTCAAAGATTAATTAAGAACTATTCATATTTTATTGCCAACATTGAAGACACCTGATGTTAACAAGCAGAATCACTGAAGGAGAAAACTGTAATTTTAAAAGAAACCTAAAACAAACACTGATCACCATAATGGTGACTTATTTTTTTGTTTGTTTGTTGTTGTTGTTGTTGTAAGTTTTACTCAGTTTAAATGGTTAACTTTTAAGGAATTAATTTGATTAATTATTATTTGTTAAATTCAATTAATAATATTGCTTGTAATCTGTTGCCACAATTTTTTATTTGATTAGATAAAGCGTATTCATTTTTACAGTGTAATGTATCAACTGATGTTAACTATTTACCTTATTGGTGAGTGTTTTTTTTTTTTTGCCATTGCCATTTTCATATGCATTTCCCCAACATGTGTTTCAAAAAGAGCATTCTGACCAGCATTGATTCAACCCTTGAGGCGGGATTATCTGTCTATCTGACCAACAGTGAACATGGGAGAAACATGTCTGAAAACTATATAAATAAAATAATAATTCTGTTTAGTACCACAGATATTACACACTTTTAGCCTTTTCTGGAATAGACCATATCTTAGCGCTCGCTGACAGATCAAAGTGCCGCTTTAAACAAATTGGGGACGTGTGAACCTGAAAGGAGCGGGGACAGTTGGTCCGCTAGCTTGAGCTGCAATCTTCGGCCGCTAGTGATGAATGCTTTGGAATACAGCTGCGCCTCCCGTACCCACGTTAACCTTGTCCCTTCTCATCAGTCACAGCGAGGAGCTACGAGGCCGGCAGCCTCGAGGTGCTACAGATTCCGCCCAAATAGCACAATCATCGGCTGCTCGCGCCATGCCGTACACCAACAGTCTCGGGTCTTCCCGTCCCGTTTCAAACCAGCTGCCACGATGCATTATAGTCATGATCAGTGCAATACTTTCTGATTATATGTCTCTTTGCTTCCGAATGGGTTTGAAGAGACAAGTGTACATTTTGTAAATATACAGTCTGCTGCGGTATATTTACTGATTGCTTTTTTGTTTTTCTTTTTGGATGTCCTGTATGTGTCTGTTACCTCTTTGCTTCTCCTCCTCATTCATGTAAAGTGCAGAACCGAAGCTTTAGCTGGTGGAGCTTGATGTTAATTTGGTGCTATCAGCACATGCTTAATGGGACTTTAATAGGATTAATGGGAATCCTCTAATGAGGCGGGGTGCAGCGTTCACATACAAACGGCAATGGTGAACCTACTGATGCTTTTCACTCGCTTTAAATGATGACAAATGACTGAAATCCTGATCAAGACTGTTTTTCTTATGTGATGTTTGAAGCTAGCGGAGAAGTTATCTGCAGAGAGCAGCAGCATCCCAGCAGAATGTGTGTGTCTGCTTGAAGAGGTGGCTATAAATGATTTTGTAACATCAAGCAAGATTTCAGAGATGCTATGAACTGTATTTCCTCCATGGGGGTAACGAAGCGTCTCAGGATCGCGCTAGATAATTGCGTTTTTATCTCGCGGGGAGAGGGAGAGGGAGAGAGAAGGCAATGCGTCTGTGAGGGGGGGCTGCAGACCTCAAGAAACATCACAACAGAACAATCAAATGACACCGAGATAGAGCAAGGTTAGATGTGATTTTAATTTTTTCATACACGTTTTAGCTCATCGCCTACAAATTGTTCCAGTTCTCACAGGGCTGCAGAGACAATCATCCATGGAAATGTAATTTTAAAACTTCTGTTACTTGCATTTGAACTTGAAGGTGCAACTCCAGAGCGATTTATCACTGTCTGCAGACTGGGGGGGAAAAAATTGGTGTAGGGTTTACTTTCAAACAATTTGCACAGTACATTTTACAAATAATTGCAAAAAAACGACAAGTAACATTAACATTCTGAAATGTTGACATGTATGCTTGTGAAACATACTCAATATCGATGATAAAAAAACACAGATGACTTATTTTGTGGGCGGAGCCTTTTTTAATATTAGGCTAATGCGATTTAATGAATAGAAAAATTCCATCAAATTGAATTAAATAATCCTTACGTAATTGGATAATTGTTCAATTAATTGTTTAATTGGTACTAAGTCTTAGTACCACTTTACATTCATTTAAGGCTTTATTCCACTTATTTAACCTCTTAACTTTGACAGCACTAGTTTAAATATTATCACATGCTTTAACTTAAAGGGACACTCCACTTTACTTTTTTTGGAAATAGGCTCATTTTACAACTCCCCCAGAGTTAAACAGTCGAGTTTTCGAATCCATTCAGACGATTTTCTGATATTTAGAAGAATATCAATAACCAGACAGTTTCTGGTCTCATTGACTTCCATAGTATTTTTTTTTTCCTACTATGGGAGTCAATGAGACCAGAAACTGACTGGTTACTGATATTCTTCTAAATATCAGAAAATCGTCTGAATGGATTCGAAAACGGTAAAACTCAACTGTTTAACTCTGGGGGAGTTGTAAAATAAGCCTATTTCCAAAAAAAGTAAAGTGGAGTATCCCTTTAAGGGCTTATACATCATGTCCCCTAAGAACTGCATATGAAGAGTTCAGATGCAAAAGCCTCTAAGTGCCATTTGAAATTTTCTTCTAAAATGATCATTTTTTATCAAGCTTGTATATTTAAATTCAGTAATTTCACTTAAATGGCAATAAAGATTACCTATTAATTGTCATTTAAGTGAAATTACTGAACTTAAATATGCAAACTTGATAAAAATTGTCATTTTAGAAGAAAATTTCAAATGGCATTTAGAGGCTATTGCATCTGAACTATTCATATGCAATTATTATGTATATCTATTGTTTTGCATCAATCGTTTTGGTTAATCGTCACTGGTTTCATTTTCAGAACTGTTTTCAATTAAAAGTTTGAATAGAAGATTCCTTCTTTTAATTTACTTTTTTCTTCTCTGGGCTTTCTCATTATTAGCTCTGTACGATTGGTGATGGATATGCAGAGGGATCAGCTGTTCTCTACTCGATAAAGAAGTGGGCATCTCTAAAATATTTGTCGCTAATATCATTTATCTAAGAGCTTTAAATGGGATAATCAATGCTGGGCCTTGGGGACTGGGAATTGAATGGTTAATGTAGCTCTTTCACAAAGGATAAGCCTCTTGGGAAGTCCTGGATTATGTCGGCGTCTGCGTTATTGGTGAACATGGGCTGAAGAAGTTAGGAGGGACTTTGAAGTCCTTAAATCACCCGTCTACATTTCATGTTTGTGTATGTTAATTAGGATCCAGTGAGTGATTTGTGTTAAGGGTAACACGCAAATGACGGCCACCCACGGTGCTGATGCCTCAACGGAATAGATTGAACTGCATTCGCTGTGGCGCATACTGCATGGTAGTATTATAAGGAGCATCTTTATCCTTGTGATTACCATTCTGGGGTGCGTTTCCAGTATGATGACGTCATAGTATGATGCGTCGTTGGAGAAATCAACTAGCTAGTCACGACTGTTTCCCGAAACCCATTGTCGCAAAGTATCGTTCAACCACGTTGGTTTCGCACGTGGTGGAGTAATAACTACTTTTAATGAAACTGTTTGAGATCCAATTAACGCTAGATTTGTTAATATAAATTACAGTCATCTAAGGACTGTTTCTACTTGTTCTCAGTTGTTTTGCTTTATTACCAGACTCAATATTTGGCTCGTTCTTACATAGTAGAGCACATTCGCACATGCGCACTCTTCAAACACATTACTTCAAATCTTTTGAAAAGACGTAATTAGTACATTTGTATGTATTCTAAATAAAAGGCACCGGTTGTACTGAATGTCAGCTTGCTTATTTTGCTCAAGATAAGGATTTATTACTTCCAAATGTCATGAAATATAGAAACGATGCTTCTAACCACAGGTCGAGAGCTGTCGTTCAAACCACACAACTTTGCGATGCCGTTTGCGGATGTTCGTTGGAACGATGGTTTCGGGAAACACCGACTCGTTGAACCATGCTGATAACGACGGAACTTGCGACCATAGATGGCTAACGATGCTTTCGGGAAACGCACCCCTGAACTGTACAAGAAAACCACTATTGTAGTAGTTTCTGTATGGTTTTGAGGAAACTGACTGGAATATTGTTAGTACACTGTGATCTGACGTTTTCTAGGTTAAACATTTAGGAAAAATGCCCCAAATTGGTTCTCTTAAAAAAAAAAAAAAAAAAAAAGGGGCGGGGAGCTGTTTTGTGGTCCCAAAGTAAGTTCCCATTCCCTTTGTATTGCACAGCCCTGCAACCCAAATGCCTGGCAAATCAATTTGATCTACCGGTCAAGACACAATCTTGAAAACAATGATCCTTTTTACAGTTTGAACTAAACATGAACTAAAACTCAAAGTGAAGCCAGTTTGACATGTAGTCTTTGCATTTTCCCTCCTAGTGTATTGCATCTATTCGTGCATTTTGCTAACCTCTGCCTCCCGTGACCAGATATGCATTGCAACCCCCATCCTTTCTTTCATTTCAGTGCTTTGCCTCTTGTCCTGCCCGCTCTGAACTTTTGGACGAATAAGTGCATCCCTCCTTTACCTGCTCTTGCCTTTAGTATGCCCTTAGCACCCAATATTCCCTGCCACACACTTCAACACTCAAAGTGTTGGCGAGTGTAAAGTAGAATACGTGAGCCATGCTGCTTATGTTTTTTTTTTTCTATTGTTGGTTCCGCAAAGAAAAAAAAAAAAAGCTAAAAATCTTGCTGTTAGAATATCATGTCATTAATCCTGATCTTTTTTTCATTAGACCCACAAGGCTCCAAATCGGATGGTACTCACAAAAAAGGTACTTCCTTTTTATTTATCCAGGATTATACAAGCTTATTGATTTATGCAATGAGCGGGCAATATCTCATCTGAGAAACAGCTAAATGATATGATGAGTTCAAGATATCTGTGTGTTTTGTTAATGGAATGTGAGAGTAACATAACTAAAGCATTGGCCCGCAATGCAACTGACATCAGACGGGCGTCTTATCTTTTTATAAATGGCTTGCTAACTGATAACACTAAAAGACACATGAAGATATTAGTTTATCTTTTCTGCTATAATTAGATATCCTTTCTTGACCTTTATTTACTGGTAGGAGGATCAGAGTAATTGGGCTTCAGGCAAGACATTTGAAAAAAAGATATGTTTATTTATTAATTAGCTTCCTTTTACTCGTGCTGTGGAAATGACCATTTATTTCATTCCGTGTGTAGCCTCCAGTTGTTGATTTAGCATTGGAACTTTGTGACTGCAACGTTAGTGCCAGTTTATCCCCAAGATAAGCTTTGTGTAGCCGGGTACGGTTTTAATCTGTGCGCCACTTATTTTCCCTCTGATCTTGGCTTAAATTTATAATTAATATATGACGGAACAAAAAAACAAAAACAAAAAAAAACAACAACAACAACTGTTTACGCTCAGTTACTCGTCTAATCAAATATTGTTGCTTTAGGTAACAAGCCATGGTTTCATATATTGTATTTAAATAATATATTTGATTCTGATGTACGATTGTCCCGGTGGTGCAAGTAATATTGTTTTTGTGACTATTGAGGCTGCAGAGAAGCAGCTCTAGTCCTTTGGGCCGAACGCTGCCGGTAGATTCTTATTAGAGCCCTGTTATTACAGGCATTATATACACAGCTCACTCCCTTTATGCAGACTAATGTGAAGCCTTCTGGATGTTTGTCACGGCTCCAGTGTTTTCAAATGAATGATCATAGGAGGAGTATCCACAAATCACATTAGAGTATTATTCTGCATTTATCACACAACGTTTAATCATCATTTATCCCAGCTGAGATTACTGCTTGCTATTGGTGTGGTCTGTGGTGTGTTTAATGTGTATCGTATGCATATATTAGCAGTGTCTTAAGAACTATAATGTTCGTTTGTATGCTATTTATATTCATTGTTAGTTATTAGTCATGTTGTTTGTGAGTTTTTCATGCCTGGGTACCTTAAATGAAATGAATCATGGCCATGTAAGGGTTCTACTTGAAGTAGCAGGTTGTAGATGTGTTTGAAAATTATATTTAATTTGTCAGGGATGCCGCGTTTTATCAGATGATGAATATTCAGTGTGTTTGTTTTTGTATTGCACACATTTTATTGAGTCATTTACGCATCCGATAGCTCAAGAACATTAGGAAGTCACGAGGAAACATTTAGTTTCTAAAAAATATTTCCATTATTCATTAAAAAAAAAAACTCTGTTGGAGTTATTTAAAAAAAAATCACAAGTTGCTTACAAAAAAAGCTATTTATATGAAGTTAAAAGGAAAAATATTAGCAAATGGCATGAAAGCTTCAAACTTTATAATAATAATAATAAAAAATAATTATATTAGCAACATATAACTGAAAACAGTAAAAATTGTATTCAGTATTTAAAACAGTATTTAGATAAATATTTACTACATTTGCTACATAAAAGAGGATATAAAACACCAGAAAACTGAAGGATGATTCAAATAAATTGGGGAATTTTTTATAACGTTAATTACAATTAATCATCCAAACAGACAGATTTGCTAAAACTCTATTTGATAGCAAAATACATTCTAGTAGAGCATGTTTGATTATTACCTTTTGATTTGCTTAACAGAGGTATGTAGAATTTTAAACACAGTAAAAACTGAATTACTTTCACACTATTTAAATAAGAAAATGCGCTTTGTTGTGGCGTTAACTTAACTTTTACGTAGTAATTTCCCAACACTGGTAGGACTGTATTTTACTGAAATATGTAAATAACTCTAACGGCATTTCAATATAATGGCCAGTGAAATCTGGATTGGACAGTAAGGAAGCTCAGTGCCAGCGCTAGTCCAGCCGAGACGTCGGCCAGTTTAATAGAGATTCATCATATTAATCTAATTTCCTTCTTATCTCTATTCTCTAATCTAATTATTTCATACGCATAGCCACCGAGTATAAGGAAACACAGTCTCTCATATCATTAAAACCATCAGTGAACCTCGGTGTGAATCAATTTCGCTGTAATATTGACCATTTTATCTCACGACTTCTGCAACCGAAGCTACCCAGTGTAATCCAGTGTAATCAAACTGTAGTCGACTCATTCTACATTCTGGATTCGGTGCCACAGCCCTCCTATTGATTTATGTCTCTCTCCAGCCTCCCTCCTCCAAGGCTGTCATGTTTCCCCTATCAGTGATGTTAGCCTCAGGGGCAGGAAGAGATCCTGGTAATTTAGCAGTGTGTCATTACTTATAGGCATGTGACGATGCTAACTCAGACACTCTCTCTGAAACTAGCTGTCACTGCACAGGCATCTTTTCCCGTCTCAGCCGGCGCTGTCCGTCTCTTATGAATTTTAATACAATCCCCTTAATGGTTAGGGTCGCCTCTAGCTGAACCGAACCTGGAGTGATGGATGGCTGTGACTTCTGCCCAATCTGGATTTGGTTTTGTTGGAGTGGGTGGGTTGTTTCAAGTAGAAAATGCATTGAATGCAAAATGATGTTTGAGTCGGGGATCCGCATAGCTGCTTTTTATGTGCATAAACCAGGTTGTTAATTGTCAAACGTTTTGTCATAGTAATTTTCTAAGACATTTCAGGGCATGTTGTGCTAAATTGTATTATTTTATGCTTTGGTTTTGTGCTAATCTAGTATATAATGTTTTTTTTTTAACCTTTTTCTTTTGAATTCAAAGAAAAAAATATTTTATTTTTTCACTATCTTATACTATTATGTTTTAGTCATATTCTAGTGTATTATTATTATTATTATTTTTTATGACTGTTATTCTGTTTTCTTGTGGAACTGTAAAAAGCTTTTTCTTGGACTGTTATGCTATTCTAGTATAATATTTTGTATACTATATTTTGTACTATACTATATTCTGTTTATGTATTCTTTTTTGTTCTATATTATGCTCTGTTTGTAGTAGTACTCTAAAATATATATATATTTTTTTTTTTTTTTTTTGTCATTTGTAATGTATGGGATAATCAACAGCTAGCTGTGCATTAAGCAATTTTAATGTGCGATGTAAAGGCAAATAACAACCCGACACGAAGCAGTGCTTCATTACAATTGTTTATGCACAGCTAGCCGTGGATTATCACGCTTATACCATGGTCATTTGCCAGCATTGACAACTTTAAGCTGTTCGTCATTTACAGTTAGATCTAGCAATTTTTGAATCAGACACTGAGATAAAGTAGTGTGCACGATTACATTTATTTGAATGAATGAATTGTAATTCATTTATTTTTATTCATTATCGAGAAAGAGAGAGAGATGCGTGTGTGTGTGAATTATCTGCGTCTGTTTAGCGTCTCTCTTTATTAACAAAGCGATGTTACTTCCTCGTTGCTAAGATGTATAATGTAGCAAAGCTATTTTATTTGGAAAAGCAGCAGCATAGTTGTGTACTTTCAGCTGGTTATCGAAGAATAAACGCAGACAGGATCACACTGAAGCGGTTTGTTCTGCAATAACAACCAGCTTGGTGTACATTATCCCGCTTATTACGAAAAATTAAGCTTCCATGTAGAACGCAATTGCTCGCAAGCAAGACATACATTTAAGGGCAAAATGCTGTGTAATAAGAGTTATGACTCTGCCATATACAGCCGTACCTCTTATAACACAGCATATTGCCACATTAATTATTATGGGATAAGTGATATCGATCTGAGATTAAACCATTGTAAAATCGTACCTGTTTGTTGTCTAATAATCCATTACAGTATACAAAATATTTGTCTCAAAATGGCATCAGCTGCGTTTGTATGAGAAGAGAGACAGAGTCTGTGATACCGGATGACAGAATTAAAAAACTGTACACAAAATATAGATTTTTAAGTAGCCTAATATAGTTTTCTGTTTGTGTATTATTCTGTACACAAACAGAATATATTCTGTGTAGAATATACAGAGTATATTCTTTTTGTAGTCTATTTTTGTACTATTATGTACTGGATTGTATTTTTTATATAATATATTAGTGTATGTGTAAATTGTAGTTTTATACTTTGTTTTATAATCTTAGATTAGATGTGTTGGGCTGTATGTAAAGCACTTTGACCAACGCGTGTTGTTTTTAAAAGTGCTAATAAATGTGATTTATTTGATTGATTGATTGATTGATAATATTATTATTATTATTTCGTACTATTCTATACTGTTCTTTTTGTAGTATTCTATTAGTTGGGGTCCATAAGGTTTTTGTTCTATATTCTGTAGTATGGTAATACAGCATTCTATTTTTGATGTTCAAATACTTCTATTTGAGGTATTCTATATAATAGTCTGTAAGCTTTGTTGTCATTCTGTACTATATTCTTTTTTATAGTATTCTATACTTTATTCTATATATTTTGATTTTGTTGTACTTTCTTCACACCAGAAGAAATCACATTAAACAACACAATCTCAACAGAAATGGATTTTGGATTATGCAGCTACACGATTTATTTGTTTTTTTTCCCCATTTCACTCCTCATAAAGAAGCTGAGCTCCTGCGCTGGCGCTTAACACCTTTTTTTTTTGTTGTTTTTTTTTACCCTATCACTGTAACTAGAGCAGCGCAAATTGAAAATTGCCCCATGCCAATAGATTTACTCAGCATCGGCCCATATGTCAGTGTACAAGGAGGAAGAAGAAGCCCTTGACATTTACCCCGTTGTTGATTCAGTGAGGTGTGCTAACATGGAAAGTCTGGTAGGGCACATTGCTGTCCCTTTGTTACCAGTGGATCTCACTTCAGTTGAAAACTGCCTTGTCAAAACCTTATCGGTATAGCCGTAGCCATATAAATATTTAATGTCTCTGTGCCATTGTATTTCTGCTGAGAGCAGCTCGATTTTTAACATGAGCAATATCATTAAGCTTTCTTTATTTATATCAGACGCTTTCATTTGTGGTGGTCCACTTACCTGGGAGGCATCTTAAGTGCCCGTTGTTTGTAATAAATCTGTTTTGCTCCCTTATTGAGAGTGTCTTCTGGGGGACAACATCTTGTGCGCCATTTTCCCTCCAGCTGACCGGTGTAAAACAGACTAATGGCCTTTGAGGCTGTATCATTGCTGCTAGGTAAAGAGATCCACTCACTGTGGTATTGATCAGTTTAGACATGAACCTTGTTAATGAAGGATTATAAACTCCTAACTGTAAAGATGAGTAGTGGTTGTTGGTTTACGAAGAAGTAATTGGTCTCTCGGATAGCGTTTTTTTTTTTTTTTTTTTTTCTTTTGTTAGGGTGCTAGCACGTAATTTATGGGCTTTCTAAGGAGGTTGTGCTTACCCAAGGGACATTTGATTAATGATTGTTCTGTTTATGCATGAAATTAATCACAGTAATGACTCTGTGAATGTCTTGTTTTTTCTTAACTGTGCAAAGTCAATACAGTACGCGAAAACGCTCCTCCCTCACTTTCTCCTTCTCTGTCTCTGATGAGCTCATCTCTCTAGGAAAGACGAGGCTGATCTTTGCGACTCGCGTGTCCTGTTTGTGTCTGTGTAATAAAGAGAAGCGCAGTGAAACGTGTGAGGCTTCTAAACTACCGTCACCTCTGCGAGATGAGAGTGGAGGCACGGCTCAGAAATTAAGGTCTTATTTGCTGGGAAGGACAGCTGAGTGAAAAATGTATAAATAACCTGAACGTCCCTTCGCTGGTGGTTGCATCCCTCTCCAGTGAGAGCGGGGCGCAGATTGTTTGGCAAAAACATGGCAAAGCAAATCATTCTTGGCGATGACTCACCCTTTCCTGACAGTTAATGAGCTCTGTCTTCCTCTTTCTCCTCTCCTTATTGGAGGCTGGGCTCACAAATGAACTGCAGTGGGGGTGAGGACATTAGATTTCCTCTGCGCTGCGTCACATATGGCGAGGAAAGCCAAGAACAGACAAATGATTACGAATACCCAGTGGAAGAAATAAGCCAAGAGCAACTATGGGGCTTGACACTGTATAGAGGCTCAAACAGGAATTGCCTGATAATATGATACAATTTTAGCCAGTTCCGAAACTAGTGAGCCACCTACGAATGCAAAGTCTGGCTCAAGAGGTAGGCAACTAAATTTTGCTAAGATAACTTGTTTAAGCCAAATTCCAAAGCAATATTGCATGGCCTTCATACACAGCGAGTGAAAACCAAGATGGAGGACAAGGCTCTGCTCTACTATTCATTTTTATGCTGGTTAGAGAATTGTGCTGTTAGCTTAGCAACATGCTAATGTCAAACTCTATTGAAATCAATTGTGAATTGAGTCTTTCATGCAGAATGCTTATTGTTTTTGTGTCTGGAATGTTACAAATTAGTTTGATTATGGCTAAGATGCTGCCTTTGTAGGCTGCTCGCTAGGTTTTGAAACACAGGTGTTGTGCACATTTAAGATATAGACTAGGACTGGAACAACGTGTAGCTGTAACGATTACGTCAATTACGCACTGTTTATGTTCATCCTTAATCACCTGTCATGTTTCTCACAAAACAAAACTCTAGAGCAGATGCTAAAGGCTAGTTAGAATGAGTTTTGTGTGAAGCGTGACTAGGCATGAGCATAAACAGTGCGCATTCAACATAATCGATTATATTGATGTGTCGTTCCTGCCCTAAAATAGACCTTAGTCAGTGACATCATATTGCATTTAACTCTGAGAAAAAATAGGCTGTGACTTAGTCTTTTTTACAATGGCACATTGTTATAAAGATACTAGATCCAGTCAAAACTGTTTTATGGAGTTTTTGTCTACAGAAAGTTTTTTGTTGTTGTTAAACAGTCCAACAAACGCACTGTATTTCTATTCCTCAAAGCTTCGTATTTATTCCTGTCTATAATTAAATATGGCGCTACCCTGACTAAAGCCCCGCCACACTACTGCGTTTTCGTTTAAAAACGGAGAATTAAAACGAATACTATCTCCATCCACACCAGCGTTTTATCTGCGTATTAGAATGATCTCCGTCCACATTAAAACGACTGAAAACGCTTATCACGTGACCATGTAAACAGTGGTTGACGAATCAGAGAAAGATACGTCATGACTGATAACACCCAATCATAGAGCCGACTCCGAGCGTCAGCCTCTGCTCTGCGTCAGCTTTTCTGAAGTCCTCTCCCAGACAGCAAACTGACATTGAATCAATGTGGAAACGACGTCTCTCATGACATTGAAACAACGTTGATTTGCTCATCGAATTAACGTTGAACCAACGTCAGACGCGGCATTCTTCAAAGCTAAATGAAATCGAAAATTAGTTTGCTTTCATAACGTTGAAACAACGCGTTGATTTCAAGTTGATTTTCCGTTAGTTTTGAAAGAATGACGCATCTGACGTTGGTTCAACGTTAATTCGATGAGCAAAACAATGTCAGATCAACGTTGTTTCGATGTCATATTTCCACGTTGATTCAATGTCAGTTTGCTATCTGGGCTGTTTTGTCTACACTAAAACGCCCTCCGGAGATTCAAAATGCAAAACGGAGCTGCAGCGTTTCTAAACTTCTCCGTTTTAGGTCTTCGTTTTTCCCGTTTTAGTCTGAACGGGAGGTGCAAACGTAGCAAAAGGTCTCGTTTTCTGTTTTTAAACGAAAACACAGTAGTGTGGACGGGGCCTAAGATCTGTTCCTCAATGATGGCGCAACGCTATACAATTGTGTGTAAAATTTTGTCAAATCACTCATGAGGTAAATTTATTTCCAGGTAATAGTTTTCTTGGGGATTGCACTTCGCACTCGCAGCCTTATAGAATGCCTAATAAATTGTGCAAGACTTTGCAGATTGCAATATGTTTCTTTCCAGTAATCTACTCATTCAGCACCTTAGGATGCTGCGTGTGGCTCGTCAGCAGGCAGAGAAATTGGGTTCAGGGTTTCTCCATTCTGTTCAGCAGCTCTATATCTTACCGAATCACAAGTCTGGAGCCGCCTGACAGGGTCTTTACGAGGCCATGAGCGCCGTGTCACTCCAAATATCCCCCTCTCTGTGTTTACAGAGCCATATGTGATGGATCGCTTGCTTTTTGGGGGGTTTTAACAGCAGAAGTATGGTTTCTGTTCAGTCGTATACATCTGTCTCTTTGACTGCAGGTTTTCAGTTATGCACCAGCATAAGAGATTTACTTCCAATATTTCTAAAACAGAAAATGGAGGAACAATGGCTTTCCTTTTGAGGGTTTGTTCTGTATCAATAATACTAATACTAATAATAATACTGTTGGCCATTGTCTTCACAGAAGACTCACCTCAATATCTTTTCTCTTTGGGATGATTAGTCTAATAAACCATAACCCGCCTTATTTTAACAGCATCTTTGTTTTTTAAGCTAAGGCAATGTATCTTAAAAAGATTTACATGCTTGAAGTCAATTATAATGTACTAATTTAGCAGTTAACAGGTAAGTTTTGGTTAGTATTTTGTTGATTCTTAGTAATGAATTGGTGTACATTTTGGTAAGATTCAAATTTGGAGGATAACCTGCTTTTTATATCAGTATCATTTGACTTATATGTTGTTGTTGTTTTGTTGTTTTTCTCTTTTCTTTTTTTCCACAGGTCCACCTGTGAACGTAACATGCAACATTTTTATTAACAGTTTTGGATCTATTGCTGAAACAACAATGGTGAGTATATTGATAAAAGTGATGCACATGATATGTAAACCCCTATAACGGTTTGGTGAAGAAAAAAAAAATCGGACGAACAGGCACCAAAACAGTATTTTTCTAATTTAATACATTTTTGTTAGTACTTATGATTAACATAAACAAATTGAAAGAGAAGCTTAACTGAAACATTAACATAAATTTAAATATATTTCTTTAGCTTAGTTTTTTTTTATGTTTATTTCAAGGTTTTAATTAAAATCCAGTGTTTGGATGTGGTCTAAGACTTTAGAAACCTGCTGTAAAGGCCAATTACCCCCAAGGATGATCACGATAACTATAAAGTATATAATAAAAAAGCATCTTCTAATTTCGTAGGAATATTGGGTCACACATGGTCCACTTTAGACATTCTACTAACCATAAGTAACTTTGCAACTGCCAGTCATTAGAGTAGACTGTTAGTAGTCTGTTACTTATAGAGTGTCTGTTGTGGACCATCAAAAAATAAAGTGTTACCAGATATCAAGCAGAAAGTCTACCTATAATCCAATGACTACTAGTTTAACTTTACATGTAGTGGTAAAGTTATTTAGTCATTACTTAGAATATCTAAAGTGGACCATTAAAATAAAGCGTTACTGGGTAGTAAAGTCCACACTATAACAAAAAACGATTCAGAAAACGTTATTTTCCCCTGATATAAACACTAAAAGCCAATCAGGATCCATCCGACTTGAAAGAGCTCAGAATTTTACTGTCATTGGTGTAAATGATAAAATAGTTATTGTTATTGTTAGTTATACAGTGGGCCTTAATGGTCACTATTTTTATGATAATGAAAGTTAATTCAATATGTGCACCCAAAGCCAGACTTTGACATTTATATAGTTTTATTGATCATATTGATTGATCTGATCCTCTAGGGCAATATAATTTTGAATGTGTTTTCAGTGTATTGATACATGGAGGAAAATGTAATCGAAAGGCTTTTTTAACTGTTAGCCAGGTGAAGGTTACACTTTTTTTTTTCTTCGAAATAATATCTTGTAATGCCAAGATTTCCTGTTTGGCACCAGCTGAACAGCTCCAAAACTTCAGCAGCTTGCAAAACCCCCTCAAGCTGAAAAAATGCAGTGCTTTCCACTCTTTCTTTCTTCCATAACCAGCGGAATTGATCCGAGTTGCTCATGCTCGTGTTCACACTGAGCAAGCGGCGGCGAGGTGGAGGGGCAGGAGGAGATAACCCGAGCCATATTGATAAATCTTTATTGCTTATAGGGCAGTCGAGAACAATGTTTCAGCCAGTAATGATCTGAGAGACTCCGTCCAGTGCTACTGAGACCGTCGTTCCCCCCGGCCTTTCGCCGTCCTAATTGTTTACCCTTTTTATAAGGCAAGGGGCCCACGGGAGAGGCGAGTGGCTATTTAATTATCTCGGCGGCTCTTTCATTTTCCTGAGGAAGCAAGAGAGAGCGAACGTGTAAATTTCAACGTCCGTCATTTGTTAGCAGAGTTGGGCGTGCGAGAGTCATGCAAACTTTTTCTAATATGTCACCGTCAGGATAGGATCTGGCCTTGGGCTTGAATCGCATTATGAGTGGGTTGTTGCCATAAATCACTCTCCTTAGCCTAGAGAAATCAAATCAGAGAGGGAAAAAAAAAAAGTTGTGTGTGCACTGATGAATGTGCGCCCACTCCTCGCTTGTTTGCAAAATCATTCTGTCGGAAACTAGCTGTACGTTTGAAGGGGAGCGTTTGACTGCAGGCGTCCTGTTTTTTGGTTGTAGCAGTGGATTTCTGAAAATCACAGTAGACAAGAGCAAAAGGTTTTACTAATTTTTCCATATATATGCGTGGTTTTTGTGACGTTAAATGTGTGTAATTAGCGTTTGCCGAAGAGAACAGATGTGTTTACATAACGCCTGAGTAATTGGGAGATAATGCTACTTGTAATGAAGCCGCTATGCATCGCTCAGTTGTCTTCGCAGGGTTCATTTTGCGTCTACAATGACCGCGGGCTGTTTATCATAAAGGAGAAATATTGACAAAGTAAAATCGATGGGACTTGTTCTTTTCCTGTGCTCTCCGAGAGGCAAATCTAATAACCTGGGACAGAGGATTCTCCTCCATCAAAATATTTCGAAATCCTTGGGATGAACCGGTCACCATACATTAGGATAATTGCCTGAAATGTCCTTGCATGTTGTAGCTGATTGCCATTGCAAAGGTCATCCACTTTATTTCGTGCCATGCGGATCATCCCAAGTCATCCCAAGGTACATTAATGCCCAGACAGTTTAATGGTCTCCCTGAAATGATATAACTGCATGCCCGTTTTGGAGAAGAATTGACAATTATGGCAGTGTGTTGGGGCGAAATGCCACTGCTTTACGGTGTCTGCTTTTACGCATCGGCCATGTCGCCAGGCGGTCTGCCTTCACGAATAACAATTATCTCAAGCTAAATATATAGTGAGACGATGGCAAATATACCTGGACTAAGTTTAGACATACTAGCAAAAAAAAAAAAAAAAAAAAGAAAAAAGCATGTCCTTCCTGAACCTGATGTTGGCTTGTAAAATGTGCTGGTGTCTGTTGCTCACCTCTGATCTGTTGGCATGGCTGTCATTGTGTGCCACAGGATTACAGAGTGAACATTTTCCTGAGACAGCAGTGGAATGACCCTCGGCTGGCCTACAGCGAATATCCCGATGACTCCCTTGACCTTGATCCCTCCATGTTGGACTCCATTTGGAAACCTGATCTGTTCTTTGCCAATGAAAAGGGAGCTAATTTCCATGAGGTTACCACTGACAACAAGCTTTTGAGGATCTCCAAAAACGGGAATGTTTTGTACAGTATAAGGTGAGAGTGCAATATATAATCGTATACGGTGTGTTTGTACACTTAAACCTGGGCTAGTTGTTAAACCAGCTTTATTTCTGTCCGTGTTTCTCAGGGTGGATTGATTTCTTTGCGCCCTTTAAAAAAAGACATACAGTTCATTAAACACACTTTGACCTTTTGTGATAACATGGCTCAGTAGTGGGCCATGTTGTCACACTATATGGGGTAAGTTGTTGCAATGAAACCTCCCATTAAACAGCATTTTATAGGATGTTCAGCAAAAATGTAAGAAAAAAAGTCATTATTTTGAAAAATGTAATGGGTAACATAAAATGATCAACTAATATATGGCCAACAAATATTGTAGTTGGTAAGTTTTATACAACAAACTGACAATAAAAACATTTATAATGTTAGAAAAGATTTATATTTTTTTAAATAATGCTGTTTTGTTTATCAGAGTCCTAAAATAGTTCATCAGTATTACAGTTTCCACAGAAATATTAAGCAGCACAACTGTTTATAATATTGATAATAATAAGGCCACGTTTACACAAAGCCGGGTATTTAGCAAAACAAATATTTTCCCCCTCTCCGTTTTCAAAAATAACATCGTTCACACACCCGCATAAATACGCCGTCGAGCGCCATCATAACTATACCAAACCTATTGGGGGCAGTGTATGGAGAAGGATAAAGCCATGCAAACCAATCAGAATCCTCAGAATCGACGAAAGAGAACCTAAAACGCAGTTTCTCCCAGTTCACACGACAACACATAACCGGCGTTTTCAGAAATCTCCACTTTGGCCGGAGTTTTTTAGAAATAATCGTTTTCTGTGATAAAAACGGGGTTTTCGTGTAAACGAGAGGCCAATCCGCAGGGAAATATCTGCGTTTTCCCTTCGTGTAAACGGGCCCTAGGAAATGTTTCTTGAGCATCAAATAATTATATTTGAATGATTTCTGAAGGATCATATGACACTGAAGACTGGATTAATGATGATGCAAACTAAGCTTTGCATTACAAAATTATAGATATATTAAAATATAAAACAGCCAAATTGTAATACTATTTCACAGTTTTACTGATTCTACTGTGTTTTTAATCAAATAAATGCAGATTTGGTGTACATAAAGAGATTTTGTTTTTAAACTAACTGACCCCAAACTTTTGAACGGTTGTGTATCTTGATGAAATTCAACACTGTTTATACTGCACAGCATGTTTGCTTAATTGTATTTGGTACTTTATTATTAAAAAATGAAGTACCTTAAAGCAAATAAAAAGCAAATATAATAAATCCTTCTTTGCACAACATTTCCAATTTCCAAAATTCACTTTGTCTTATCATTGTAGCATTGATGTGGCCTGGGGTTGCGGTGGATAGCTGTGTGGATTGGGAAGCCTCGTCTCTTAACTCTTAACTTTGACACCATCAAATGAACCTTTCAGATCAGTTCAGTCTTAGCTGTGAACTCTCTCTAAATTGCACCAGCCACAGTGCACAGTTAGATTGAACATTTCGGGTAAATAACCACTATCCTTTGATAGTGACGTAAATACAGCCTCTGCACTGGGCTGATTCTTTATCTAGCTTTAGGATCACATGAGGCTGAGTTAATAATCATAGATTTAATAGAGTTTGGTTGGATTTTCTTAAAGGAATAGCCACCTAAAAATTAGATTTTTTTTTTTTTAATTTTTAGGTGGCTGTCCCTTTAAGGCGAGACACAGCAGACAAAAACATAGATTTTTCCTGCAGTGATCAGTTTTGAGCTTTTAGGCTAGTTTACTCCTTCAGTATGTGTTCTTTCAAGCTACTATAAAGAAACGTTGAAAATATATTTTAAGATGTAGATTGTATTACATTTTGCAGTAAGTTACTCTCAAATTTACCAAGAAGTTAGCTTTCCAATGCGTCATTCTGCGTTCCGTCTGTTTACTGAAGTCTGTCATGACCCGTATCGTTCTAAAGCTATGTCACCTAAATATGGGCATTTCCTTTCTAACAGTAACCAATCGTGAATGTCCAAAGGGTGATTTAAAGCTAATGATGAAATCTCATTGGCTACTGCTGGTTTCTGCTAACGTGATTCGCTCAGACGCATCACGTGGTGTACTTTGCCAATGCTAATTAATTGATTTACTGCAGTTGAAAGCCTTATATGCCTGCCATGTTATTAAATAATCAGTTTTCATGACCTTAAAATATATATTATTATTACTAATGATCTTAGCATTTATTCTGATTTTGAGCAATGTTTTCCAATAGAAATGTATGAAAATCCCTACTTAAAGGGATAGTTCACTTTGAAATAAATTTTTGATATGTTTTAGCTTACCTTGAGGGCATCCAAGATGTAGGTGATATAATGCAGGTTTTGGGGGTCCACCTCAAAGAGCATGCTCAGAGAAGTCCAAATTAAACATGATTAAATGACTCGTAAATGTAAGTACAAATTGATGGCCTAAGACACAAAACGAGCGGTTTGTGTGAGAAAACGAACAGTATTTATATTGTTTTTACCTCGTGTAACCACAGCCATGTTCTAGTGATCTGAAGGCACGGGCGCTTCGGTCTGCGCATGCGCCGGAAGTGATCGCTTGTGCGTGTACGTCACTCATTGTTTACACAGAGATTTTGGAAGTTTTACCTTTTTTACCGGCAAAAATGTGGCAGAAAAATATGGCAATTGATTTTGTAAGGCATTCAATGGTATATTTAGATTTCCTAGGTAATGAAACCATATATCCTAAAATCCCTCTGATGAAAAAAGATGTATCATAAAATGTATCGTATGTTCAGCTCTATCTACCAAAACCGTGCATATTTAATGAGATAATGCATAATTTGCATAATTAAACCAAAATTTTTAATATACTTGTATAAGTAATCAACTGAGGAAGTCTATTATTTAAAAATTGTATCCTTTTAATCTGTAGTGTCTCGCCTTAAGAAATGCAACCAAGATTAAATCAATTACTCTTTGTTTCTCATCCTAATGCCTTTTCAATTCTCTATAGTGTTATTTCCATACAATAACAATTCATAGTGACCACACACACACTTTAAAAGGCACAATAGGAATGGTCTGTAGTACAACTTCTGCACTATATTTTAAGTCTTCTGAAGTGAGGAACAGAATGAAATTTAAGTAATTCACTGATAATCGTCACCCCTGATGCAGCTCTCAAATCAAATGTGGCACCTGTGCTTCAGGTTGGACATCAATAACATCAAACATTATTGGTTCTCCAGTGTCTCATAACCAGGTGTCTCGTAAAACCAAAACCAACTGCGACATATTTCATTTTAGAGCTGCAGTGGCTGTGGAAATTATCGGTGAAAAACAACTGATGACAGTGAGCAAATAATGACTGAATTGTAATTATTGGGTGCTGTGTTATTGTTAACTAAAAATAAACCCTTAACGTTAGTTTGCATCATTTAAAATAAATCTGAAATGTAATAAAACATTAATGTTAGATGAAAAATCGAAAACTTAAAGGGATAGCGCTCCCATAAATGACAATTCTGTCTTTATTTGCCTGTATGGATTTCTTTCTTCTGCTGGACACAAAAGAAGTTATTTTGAAGAATGCTGGACACTGAACAGTTGATGAATCCTGTTGACTTCCATAGCATGGAAAATAAATACTATGGAAGTCAATGGAGCCTTTACTTTTAAATAAAAATTAGAAATGTTGCCTTGACAGCGAACTAACGTTTAAATACTAAAATGACTAAAACTCGATTTTTTTTATTTATTTTTTTAAAAAAACTACTGAAACTGAAAAAAAAATAATTAAAACTAATTCAGAATATGAATAAATGCAATAAAAGTATATAAAAATATTGAAATAATAATACTGATGCGGGTGAACTGTTCCTTTTAAATTTAACCTGGTTTGTCCTGTGGAAAAGGAAGAAAATAAGAGCTGTCTAATTGGATGTGTTGTGGAGTTTGTTGCTGATCACGGGTGTTGTTGTTCTCAGAATAACACTGATTCTGGCCTGCCCCATGGACCTGAAGAATTTCCCTATGGATGTGCAGACCTGTATAATGCAGCTGGAGAGCTGTAAGTATGCCCTGATCCTTTCAGCCAGATGGAGAGGATTTATTCAGTGGTGCAGAGATGGATGTTGTACTGGCTGGCACCAGCAGATGAAGAGCGTAGTGATTTAAGGCCGCCTTCAAGTAGATTCAGCAGTCAGCAGAGAGACGCTTCAAGCACAAGCCAACACCGGCCCTTCCTGGCATTACAGATTTCTGTTATTTACTATTGATTCTCAAATTTGCCAAATTACAGCGCATTTCTTGCAGGGGAAACTTTGTTTAACGGAAGCATATTTTGAAAATTATTAGCAAATTATTTTTGGGTGACGGATGGTGATGCAGGGTTGGTGGTTATGTAACATTTTAACAAATCTTTCCCGTTAAAATCAATGCAGACAATTGCACTAGTTTTGATTTATAGTGGGTGCTTTTTTACTTTATTGACATTTTATACTTTACACAATTCAAAACTGCAACAATATGTATCATGGATAGTGACAATCCGTATTGTGTATAGTTCAACCAAAATGAAAACTAAAATGAGTTTTAGAGTCAGTATTACATTAATGTCGAATATAATGTATAATAATGCAATGGGGGAATATTTTTCCCGATAATACCAAATGTCTTGTGTTACCAGTAAAAAAGTGGCCTACACTATTTTAAAAATATCTAGTCAGTGACAGAGTGCACGCATATTTGTCTAAAATAATTCTAAAAATAATAAATAAATAATAATAAAAAATATATAATATTCATTTACACCCCCTATGTAACACCAAATTTAACATTTAAAGCAACAGTGAACATTTTTGTGTTAACCCTTTATCATATGTCTGTGAGTATCGCAATAATATCGTGATACATCTAATCGTTACATAAGGGTATCGTCGTTACACCCTTATTATATACTATGTATTATTGGTTTTCAAGAAATGCGTGTTTAGATTGTTTCTTTTAGAGGTGTGAGGTGGCCGATTCGCTAAAATATGTGCCAATTTCAGACCAAATGAAGCTCTTTTTTTTCGCTGTCATCAACATTATTGTTTCACCTTTTCTCCACTAGTTGGCTACACGATGAATGATCTTATATTCGAGTGGGACGAGAAAGGAGCCGTGCAGGTAGCGGACGGACTGACGTTACCTCAGTTTATACTGAAGGAAGAGAAGGATCTGCGCTACTGTACCAAGCACTATAATACAGGTAAGTGTCATTCATCGTGTGGTATTCAACTGCATTTGAAGCTCTAGTGTTTGTTCAGAGCTGACACTGGTCTAAATGTGGCCAGACACAATCGCAAACTATTGTTGGGTCAGTTGTTATGAAGCACTTGGCACCAAAATGGGTTCAGTGAAAGGTTGTGGTCGTGGACCACAGCTATGCTTTGAATCTTCTTCATGAACTTTTGATTGGGTTAAATACCATCTGTTCAGTCAACGTTGACGGTCAGGATTTGTTACACTCCAGATAAACTGGAAAATTGCTGAAGGCCAGAGTGGTTCAGATCGAAAATAGAAGCAAGCCAAAACAGCAGGGACAGTCAGAGCAGATTGTCTGCCTTTCTCTTGAGTTTTTATCATTGAGCTAATGAGAGTTTTGTTCGAAACAGTCTTATTGGATATCGTTTCTTTATTTTTTCTTAAGCATTATGTTTTATTAAAGGTCACATTTGGTTACAAAGGTCACAAGGTGCATCGTCATTTGCAGTCGTGTTTTAAATGAAATGAAACGTGTTGCTATTTCTTACCAATGCCATAACAGATGTTTCTCACTGAAGCTTTTATTCAGGGTTACAGTTAATGTGTTCGTGATCAAAACAATAACAAAAGCAGCGTTCTCTGTGTGTTTTCTTATCTCATCTGACAATCCAGTATTTTAACCCCTTAAATGCAGAAGCAAAGGAAAGAATAGCAAATCACTATTCAGTTTGACTTACTACTCTGTAACAGACAAAACAATAGTTACACATGGTGAAAACACTGTTACTCACACTTGTGTTGTGACATTACTGTCAGAATCAATATGGGCGTCACTGCATCATCTTTTATTTTCGGTCTCTCTGAAAAGCCGGCGCCGTGTGGTGTCTTGTGTAAAAACGAATCCACAGTAAAATAATGCCCAATAAACTAGTGTCTTACTGACACGTTCTGACTGGAATTTCTTAAAGGGGTGGTTTACTGCTTTTTTTTCTTTGCATGATTGTGTTTGTGGGGTGCAATATAACATGTATTCGTGGTTTTTCTTTTTTTAAAAGTCTTATTTTTCATAAATTTCACTTTTATTGTAAGCCGCGTTCTCCTCTGTCATTTGAATGACCGGTTGACTTCCTGAGTCTATGAAACCACTACCTCAGAAACAGGCAGTGGACTCAGATTGGTTAGTTTGGGCCGGTGTGTTGTGATTGGCTAAACTGTAGTACACGTTATCCGGAAAATTCACGCTCATTACCTTTACAAGCGAAACTTGCATGTGTGTTCCTGTCGAATTTAAAGAAAAGTTTCGATACTGCACTATCAGTTTGAGCCAGAATCAGACCCAGAAAGCGGCGATGAAGAGAGTCAAGCAGAACCTCACCACGCACGGCTCTTACAAAACGTTTCTGAATGGTAACTGAACTTTATACACGTTTGTTTTACACAATAGCATTGCACTTACTGGCTACTATATACACAAACAGCGTTGGCATTGGTTTACGTTCTTGATCAAATCGAAAAATAACTCCATAAAGTAAATATACATGAAAAATACATGGATGGATGTTGTTGTGACTTAACGTTACCTCTGGGGAGCTGGAGAAAAATCACTAGCCAGTCAATGAACATCATCAACTGTAATATTCGGCAAATGTCCAAGACATTCGTCCATCAGGCTACCGGAAACTAGACACCCCCTATCGGTTTCACAGCTGGAAGTAGCATATGCTAACGTGCACATAGTCTATTATCTTGTCGGTGTTTGCATTTTTTTACCTTGAGGTAATCCAGAACTAACTAATATCAGTCAGATTTAAATACTTTAAAAAGGTTCAATATTTGCTCAACTCTCTCTCTCTCTCTCTCTCTCTCTCTCTCTCTCTCTCTCTCTCTCTCTCTCTCTCTCTCTCTCTCTCTCTCTCTCATTCCTGCCTGAGGTGCATCTCATAATTCTTCAGTGTGCTTACTTTGCACTTCACCCATCACCTCTGTGTTTGTGCGGATCAAATACCCTGAAGATGCCCCAATGCTCTAATCATGACTCACCGTTCATTTCTGTGTTCACCATCTCAGTTCAGTGGTGTGTTTTTACGCATGTGTGACTACAGGGCTGCGTCCAAAATCGCGTACTATGTGAGTAGGTACTATATTTAAATAAGAACGTACTTTGCGACCGTTAAAAAAGTACCTTTTATATAGTATGAATACGGGTAGTATAATTGAGTCCATACGTACAACATGCGCCATGTTGTTGTCGTGTGACATACGCTGTCTTAACTGTGTGAAAATTTAAAGAGCCCATTCCAGTGACCGCACCAACTTCGCACTGTTTTTAGTTCTGCTTTCTGTTTTCATCTGCGTTTTTACGTCGTCTGAGTCGACAATGAAGAGGAGGCGTCAATTTCCCAAATAACATTTATTTACCTAAGAAATTTTACCTCATAAAACACACACGCAATCCCTATGAATAATGACAGATGTTGATTTTTGGCAAGGAAAAGGCCATTTATTTGCTTGTGATATTACCATCGATAAATAAACATGAATTAATTAATAGAGATACGCATGTGTGTCTGTGTTTATCTCCTAACGTTACAGTCGCGTCTCCGGTTTCCGCCATTTTCAAATATAATGACGACAACTCCTCTCCCCCGTGGCATCATGGGATAGTAAAGTGTCCATCGTGCGCACTTCAGAATCTTGGGAGTAATAGGTCATCCAGGTACTATTGGCCCACTGTTTTTCGAATTCTATGATTTTGGATATACTACTCTGCTCGTGTACTGTTTTTCGCAAACTATATACTAGGGAAGTATTCGATTTCGGACGCAGCTCAAGACCCTCTCTCTTTCTCTCTCTTTTTCTCTGCATAGTCGTGTTCCTCCAGCGCGGGCACTGGAGATGCAGTACAAGAGCTCTACCGCTCCCCAGTCAAAATTAAAGTGTCTTTTCTCAGATTTATTAGTGGCAATCTTTTTTGATTTGCAGAGCAGGCCTAAGCTCTGCAGTCCAGCCTGTCTTCCTCATCCGAATGCATCCTCCAAGTCCCTTGGGAAAAATAGGCACTTGTGTAGTTTAAATTTTAATGCTGGTCAGTTGAATCCCTGCTGTTTTTCGCATGGCTGTTTACGATCAACAAAGATTGCAGTCCAGAGAAAGTGTTTGCTCTCTCTGTTTGAGCTTCTGTTTGAGTCAATACCTCTGTTTGCTTTTAGTACTAGACTTTCCTTTTATGTCTTTATATATATTCATAAATGCAACAGTGTAGTCAATACATAATATTCCCAAGAGTGAGGGAATAATCTAGAGGTTTATGCTGCATCAACTCCGTAACAACTGCAAAAGCTTGGCTATTCCAGTTCAGCCGAGTAAATGGTGGAAGTTAAATGAACCTTGACCCTGACATTTTTCAGCTCTGCTGTCTAGTTATAGTGTAGGGGAACACACATGAAATTGTCAAGGGGCTGTAAACTAGGAATTGGATTTGACTATTCTGGTTCCCAGATTCCTTTTAGCAGTCCCGGATACTTAATGTATCAGTACATACACTGATTTAAGTCTGTAAGCTGCATATGTTTTATTCGCTAAAAAGATCCAACTCGTCAGAGTCATTTGTTCAGGAATCAGATTCACTAAAAAGAACAGATTTATAAGGTTCACTATAAGGTTCACAGGAATCATTCATTCTGTAATTGGACTACACTGGTCAAGCTTTCCATTTTGTTCTGATTAAGTATCTGTATTTTAGTTTGGTAAACTGTTAATTGAATCAAACATCATTTGGTTCTGGTATTTTGTTTATTTTTATGGAACTGTTTCCACTTCGTAACCCTATTTACAAGGGCTGTCTTAAACCTGCAAAGACAAAACACTGGAGAATCACATAGAACATGAGTAGACAATGAAAGCCACATACTATTTGTGTTTCAGGGAAGTTTACCTGCATAGAGGCTCGTTTCCACCTGGAGAGACAGATGGGCTATTATCTGATCCAGATGTACATTCCCAGTCTCCTGATTGTCATTTTATCTTGGGTGTCCTTCTGGATCAACATGGATGCTGCTCCTGCCCGTGTAGGCTTGGGCATCACAACTGTGCTGACCATGACCACCCAGAGCTCAGGATCTAGAGCTTCTCTTCCCAAGGTCAGTTGGGTCTCCTCTCCAGCATAATCATCTCTCAACTATACAATGCCCTGATGGTGTAGAATGTAGAGTATACTCTATTTCATGGATCCCAGTGCAATATGTCATGACTTGTAGTTGGCTCAATCCCTGTCCACATCATCCTGAACAGACTCAAACCTCATAGAAAATTAGTTTAAGACTTAAAGGCCTGGTTCCACAGACAGGTCTTAGATAAAGCCAGGATTAGGCTTTCGTTCAATTAGGATATTTAAGCAGCTTTTATAAACATGCCTTGCAAGAAAACTTGCAAGTTAGGCTACTTTTAGTAAAAACAGCTTCAACATGCATTTTAGTCTGGGATAGGCTTAAGCCTAGTCTGTAATACTGGGGGGAAATTATAAAAATGCCAGTGTCACATATATCACATGTGTGCCACACTGAGATGAATAAGAAAGTAAGGCTGCACTATTAATCAAAATAAAACCAAAACAAGGCTGCAATTTTTAATGTATATAATATATATATATATATATATTACAACCGAAAAAAAATATATATATATATTCATTGATTCAGTTGTAATTCTGATGTCCTTTTTTCTGTGTGTGTGTTTTTTGGGGATTGTTGACATAATTACTTTATAACAGGACGGAAATTGTACCCATCATTCCCTGTACCTGTTTTACTTACTCAGCCTGCTGTAGTACTTCATATATTTTCAGATCCTACATGCAGCATCAAGATGAGACAGGATATTGCTGTATTTTGAGATGCTGATCATCATTTACATGCACCATGACTTGGCACACATACCGTTCAGGTTTAAATAGGTTGCCATGCTTGACAAGAAAACCTCTAAATGGATTTATGAAATGATTTTTTTTTTTCTTATGAATGTTTTGGGAGATTATTCCCAGTTTTGACATTTGGCAGATGATTTTGAGTCTGCTCACCGCAATACTGATCATGTAGGTGTTTTAATGTCAGTGCTCAAGCCATGTCCTTGGATGGCTGTACCTCCCCTGTGTCCAGCTGCGTTTATCTAAAAACACAGCTTTGTCTCTTGGCTTAAGCTCTAAAGACTGTTCGGTTTTGATAGTAGTGGGTGTTACTGATGGAAGTAATTGTAAAGGTTTCAATTAATGAAAGAGAACCGTTCCAATAAAGCTATATGAGATTAGCGGTGAAGATCAGAGTGGAGTATTTCATCAGCGCCGTCTCACCCCAGCGCGCTCCCGTCATTTCAACAATGCTTTGTGAACCGTGCACTCTGTAATGCCACCTAAACTCCACAACCACTTTGGTCACTGGCTTGTCAAATAAAGTGAGTCTCAGCCAAGCGGTCGGGCCGGCAGCCCAGCTCTTTTTCAGGCCGAAGAAGAAGTCTCCCAAAGCGCACTTCAGTCGTCTTTATGCATAGAGACCGGGCCACTGTCTAACAGCCGTCATGCTCTGAGAAAAAAAAAAAAAAGCAAAATGACTCAACATTGACATATTTTATTCATTAACACTTTGATCCCCTATCTCAGGCTTGGTAGAACAGTCCTTTTAGCTCTCCAGATTTTAGATGAAAGGTTCTTACCTATAATGGGCATATTTTACGACTTTCTCAACTAGAAAGTTCAGAGCACGTGAGCCAAAAGTGACTCAGTGAGTGAGCCAGGCGGTGACTCAGAGTTGGTCTTCGTTGCAAATCCTGTTGATTTCTGTCTTGCTGCAGGTCTCGTATGTGAAAGCCATTGACATTTGGATGGCAGTGTGCCTTCTCTTTGTGTTCTCTGCTCTGCTGGAGTATGCGGCCGTCAACTTCATCGCACGCCAACACAAGGAGCTGCTGCGCTTTCATAGGAGGAGAAGGCATCTTAAGGTAAACCCTACAGTACAAGCACACTGTATCTACAAGCCCTGCAGATATGCAATATTGGACATTTATTTAATCAAAAATACAGTAAAAACAGTAACGTAAATGCTCTATTTGGATACATTTTATGATGTAATTTATTCCTGTGATCCAAATCTGGATTTTGAGCATCATTAATCCAGTCTTCAGTGTCAGGATCCTTCAGAAATCATTATAATATGCGGATTTGCTCAAGAAACATTTCTTATTATTATCGATGTTGAAAAGAGTTGATTCCTCCTTAATTTTACCCTGAATTCATTCTTTTCAGGATTCTTTTATTTGAAAGTTCAAAAGAACTGCATTTATTTGAATTATAATTCGTATGTAACATTGTTAAAACGTTTTAATAAGTGGGTCTTTCAGAAGGGAGTCGTCATGTTTGGGAGAGCCGGATTGATATTTTCTCGTGACTTTAGCACGCTGAGACTGAACCCAACATACTGTGAGTTGAAGTTGAAACATTAATGCTCCTTCCATTCATAGAGTAATGTGAGTTGGCATGGTGAAATCTTTCAAGTAGCTCAGAAAGCTCCGAATAAATCCCGAATCCCTCCGTTGTAATCCTCAGTTTGCCTCTGGGCTGCATGTAATGGGTGCAGTGAGATTAGTCTCTGGTTCCCTTAGCCCTATACAGGTAAATCCACAGAGACAGACTACACAGCCCTCGCTGATAGCAGTCCTTCCACCATTCAGGTGCCAAGGGCAAATGATGCAAACTGCAAATCCAACTGTTAGGTATAAATGCTATAGATATCCATCTAATAAGTTCACAACCCATGCAGGAAGCGTTTATGCTGGTTAGCCTGGACCAGTTAACCAATTCTAGGAGATATATCTAACTGCATACCCACAGCACCACTAGTTTCAGAACTGGAAGTGAGGGAAGAATTATTATTACTCCATTATAGTTATTTTAGCAAGAATGTAAGGACAAAATGGGCCTGAGAGTGAGTTTGATACATTGTAAGTTAAATGTATACAGGATTGTCAAGATAAAATGGGCCTATGGGGTGAATTGTTCATTTGTTGTATGCATTTTTATACGTTTCGTGTGTAATAAAAGCATGCCGTTTCGTGTCTAAGCAAACTACGCTCCGTTACTCGGTTTTGAACGTAAGCTCCTCCCTTTTCTCTCGGTTCTGGCGCTTGGGTTCTGAAACTGGTGGTTTCAAAATCATCTTTGACTATTGACTTAATTGAAAATAATAGCTCTTTATTTGGACAAATTCATTTTTATAAAACTGTCTATCCACTGGTTAGACTTTTTAATGTTTTTGAAAGAAGTCTCTTATGCTCAGCAATGTTGCGTGTACTTTAGAGGTAGACCGATTAATCGGCCGATTTTTGGGATTTTTTTTACATAATCGGCATCGGCCAATATCCAAGTATATCAAGCCGATTATTAGGCAGGCGCATCTGTGGGCAGCCTAGTGTTGTCGTGGAACACGCTGGCGCTAGAGTCATTTTCCAGCCGAGTGAGCAGCAGACCTAAATATGAACGTGTTCATGAACTATTGTTCATTGAACGCGTTCAGGCACAACACTGACCGTTAGTTAGTTAGTAGCTGGATTAAACATGGTTAAAATGCTGGCCAAACAGTGTAAAGTGTGACTGTGTTTCACTGTAGACTAAAAGGTCCAACAGCGGGATGCCGTTGTCTGAAGAACAACAGACGTTGCGTTGTGGTGCATTTAAAGTTTTTGTAAAATATCATTTTCCCATCTGGTGGTTGTTTTGGAAAGGATAAAATGATTTTGTTGAGAAAGTTTGTCTATGTTAAGTAATTATCATTTCTTTTACATTTTATCTTTCAAATAGAGGTTAAAAACCAAGCAAATATCGGCCAAATATCGGCCAAAATAAATCTGCAGCATTACTCGGCCATCGGCCGACCCGGATTTTAAAAAATTGGTATTGGCGTGAAAAAAAAAAAAAACATATCGGTCGACCTCTTGTGTACTTGATTAATTTTACAGTTTTAATATTTTCAGTATTAATATATTTTAAATGGGATTTGATTTCTTGATTTTGTTACTAGACTAGGTTTTCGTGCTTTTGCCTTTGGAGGGAATTATTTAAACGAGAAATATAATGATTTGTTCGTTACCGTGTACGTTCACTAGCAGTGTTGTAGTACTCGAGACTCGGACTCGTCTCGGACTCGGTCTCGAGACCATATTTTAATGGTCTTGGTCTTGTCATGGACTCGTGTGCATTTGGACTCGGAATTGACTCGTACTCGAACATTTTTTTTTTTTTTTGGACTCGGACTTATTCCCGAGTCCACTCGAGTTCAATTAAAAATATTTTTCATGATTATTAATGTATGTTAATAAAATATTTCTTTAAATTGATTGACACGCCCAGTGATTGGTGATTTTCTAGTGCGCAACTGCGCATGACAAATTGTAATAAAATTACTTTTAACACCACCTACTATGTTGCCTTTTTACCCTATACTGATCTTATTTTTTAAACTCTAAGTAAATTCAGTAAAAAAAAAAAAAAGGTAATTAGGTAATCAACCCTCACTGGTCTCGGTCTCGACTCGGTCTCGACTCGGACTCGACTCGGACTCGACCGTCTCTGGTCTCGGACTCGACTCGGACTCGACACTCTATGGACTCGGCCTTGACTCGGACTCGACTCTCTCTGGTCTCTGTTTCGACTCGGACTCGAGTGAGGTGGTCTCGACTACAACACTGTTCACTAGTCTTCGTTGCACAAGATCCTTCAGAAACCCTTTTTTTTATGAATAGAAAGTTCTACAAAGGGCTTTATGCATGGTGGTATTTCTGGTAAAGGTCTAAGGATGCTGGATTACTTCCGCCGATCGTAGAGTCCAACGCAATACCGAGAATTTATATTGTTTTTTATACTCTATGGCTATACTAAAGGAACGTTAGTCACAAAAACAGACAAAACAGACACCCCTCATTTTGTTTATGCTTCGTTTATTATATTAAATAAACATATATAAAATTACATCTAAACGTTTTAAAGTTTCGTTTCAAAGACGGGTGGACAGTACATTTTGAAGACAAACCCGTTTTCCTACGCTTTAAATCTCCCCAACCGGAAACTGAAGAGCAGCCTTGCGTCAAATGCGGAACTTATCATATATATATATATATACAACCCGAATTCCAGAAAAGTTGGGACGTTTTTTAAATTTGAATAAAATGAAAACTATACGACTTTCAAATCACATGAGCAAATATTTTATTCACAATAGAACATATATAATATAACAAATGTTTAAATGGAGAAATTTTACACTTTAGTCCACTAAATGAGCTCATTTCAAATTTGATGCCTGCTACAGGTCTCAAAATAGTTGGGACGGGGACAACAAATGGTTGAAAAAGCAAGAAATTTAGAAAGGATTCAGGTGGGAGAACATCTATAGCAACTAATTAAGTTGATATCAGGTCTGTAACATGATTAAAGGGATGTCTTAGAGAGGTAGAGTCTCTCAGAAGTAAAGATGGGCAGAGGCTCTCCAATCTGTGAAAGAGTGCGTAAAAAGATTGTGGAACACTTTAAAAACAGTGTTCCTCAACATCAAATTGCAAAGGCTTTGCAAATCTCATCATCTACAGTGCACAACATCATCAAAAAGATTCAGAGAAACTGGAGAAATCTCTGTGCGTAAGGGACAAAGGCGAAGACCTTTATTGGATGCCCGTGGTCTTCGGGCCCTCAGACTACACTGCATCACTCATCGGCATGATTGTGTGAATGATATTACTAAATAGGCCCAGGAATACTTCCAGAAACCACTGTCGGTAAACACAATCCGCCGTGCCATCTCCAGATGCCAACTAAAGCTCTATCATGCAAAAAGGAAGCCATATGTGAACATGGTCCAGAAGCGCCGTCGTGTCCTGTGGGCCAAGGCTCATTTAAAATGGACTATTTCAAAGTGGAAAAGTATTCTATGGTCAAACGAGTCCAAATTTGACATTTTTGTTGGAAATCACGGACGCCGTGTCCTCCGGACAAAAGAAGAGGGAGACCTTCCATCGTGTTATCAGCGTTCAGTTCAAAAGCCAGCATCTCTGATGGTATGGGGGTGCATAAGTGCATACGGTATGGGCAGCTTGCATGTTTTGGGAGGCACTATGAATGCTGAAAGCTATATAAAGGTTTTAGAGCAACATATGCTCCCCTCCAGACAACGTCTATTTCAGGGAAGGCCTTGTGTATTTCAGCAGGACAATGCAAAACCACATACTGCAGATATTACAACAGCATGGCTTCGTCGTAGAAGAGTCCGGGTTCTGAATTGGCCTTGCCTGCAGTCCAGATCTTTCACCTATAGAGAACATTTGGCGCATCATTAAACGAAAAATGCGTCAAAGGCGACCACGAACACTTCAGCAGCTGGAAACCTATATAAGGCAAGAATGGGACCAAATTCCAACACCAAAACTCCAGACACTCATAAACTCGATGCCCAGACGTCTTCATACTGTTTTGAAAAGAAGAGGAGATGTTGCACCATGGTAAACGTGTCCCCGTCCCAACTATTTTGAGACATGTAGCAGGCATCAAATTTGAAATGAGCTCATTTAGTGGATAAAAGTGTACAATTTCTCCGTTTAAACATTTGTTATGTTATCTATGTTCTATTGTGAATAAAATATTGGCTCATGTGATTTGAAAGTCGTATAGTTTTAATTTTATTCAAATTTAAAAAACGTCCCAACTTTTCTGGAATTCGGGTTGTATATATATATATATATATATACATATGTGGTACGCACCTATACGCACCCTACTGGTGTGCAATGGCGTTTGTTTATTGATGAATAGAAAGTTCAAAAGAACAGCGTTTATTTGAAAAGAGACAACAATGTATAAGTCTTTTTTTGATGAATTTAATGCATCCTTGCTAAATAATACTATTTATTTCTTAAATAAGTGTAAGTTTATATCGAAATATTTCATTGGTAGTGGT